GTGCCGTGGCAGGGTGGTGGCGGTTTGGCAAGCGGTGGCTGAAGCCCTGGCCGTGCAGGCAAGCTGCCAGAGGAGAAGAGGAGCTCGTGGTGGGAAGGCACGGCAGTGCCTCCCCTCTCGGCAGCACCGAGGAGGCGTAGACCAAAGCCTGAAGACCCCCACACCCTGGGGACCAGCGGGGAGGCCAGACCCACGCACCCACTGAACGTGCAGTTTGTAGCCAGAGCAGGCAGCTGCCCTGCCCCGCGATGCGGCCGTTTGGGGAGATTTCAGTGCCAGGCTTGAAGCATCACTCTTGCTTGAAAAGGCTGCGAGATGGAGCTTGAGGGTACCACCCCGCCACAAAAGCTGTTCCCGAAGTCAATCCTTTTTCTGATGTTTACAGCCCCAATTAGCTTATCCGAGCAGAGCCAGGCTGTAAGGGAGGCTGGAGGGAGACAGAGGCACCACGCAGTGATGGCAGCCGTAGTCACAGCAACGGGCCGGTCTCTCCCCGGGGATGCCAGGGTGCCAGCAGAGCTGCCTGTGCAACCCTCGGGGAAGCACCACGGGGACGGGGATAGAGGCGACAGCCACACTGCCTCCCCTGCACCTTTCCCTCCCTCCATCCTCTCGCTCACTTGTTGGGGAGAGCAACAGGTTTTTTGCTTATTCAACCCTTCCCAATCCACCCCCCAACCCGATGACAGCGCCCAGCTCCCAGATCAATAATACATGCTCCCTGAAACAGATGCCTCTCTCAACACATGGAGTCACCTTGCCCTCCCGACGGGAAACCTGAGCCTCCAGCCATCAATCTTTCATTCCCTGGACATAATCTTCAAGTCGATGCGACTCCAAGCGGCTGCTTCCCTTTCACTGGCCAGGGCACAGCGTGCCTGGGATGCAATGGGGAAACGGCCACAAATCCAGCCACAAACCTAGGCAAAACTTGTCCAAGCTCCAGGGATGTTTGGCCAGACAGTAGCCAAGGTGCTGATGGATAAAACACGGTTACACCTGCACCACCCACACTTTCCCTATACAGGCAGCTCTACCTAACTCCTGCTGGAACATCCAGGAAAGGGCACAGCTGCAACAGGCATAAAATAGCTGTTGTTGCTCCTAAAATTCCTCCTTTTCAGTCTATCCCAGTGTAGCTTGTCACGCAGTACCTGCTCACCCCGCTTGCTGCAGAGAGCTTTTCTGCTGACAGACACAGCTGGTCAGTTTAAGCACTAAGAGGATTTTATTTCTCACCATGGAAAAAAAAAAAAAAATGTCCTTGCAGGGAATCTTTTCTCTGGGGAAAAAAAAGCTACATATGTCAGAAGAAAATAGAAAGGGGAGAGGGGGAAATATCTCAGCAATAGAGGACACAAGCAAAGCTTTTCTCCCAATTTTGTGTGGGGCTGAGCTGTATCCTCCAGGATTTCATCTAACTCCTGGTCTGTATCACAAATCCTGGCCAAAGGCTGTCAGCCACCCAGGTGACACCAGCCCTTGGCTTCTCAACACCTGAATTTCCACCTGCGTGCCCAGGACCCGTCTTTTCTCCGCTCTGGCACCTCGGATCAGTGATTTGGCCCTTCCCTCAAGGCCATCGCGCCAAGTGGGGCTCAACCTCCAAATTGGGTGCTGGCCCCAGAAAAGAGCTGGGACTGGGTCCTCAAAACCATCTTTGCAGCAGCCCAGTGCCCTCTGTCCCCCATGGACACCAGGGGCCATGGACCAGCCATCCCTTCTCCTCCTCCTTCACTGATGGCACAGTGTGACACGTCCCCAGTTAGGGGGTTACTCCTGGCACCTCAGCCACGAAGCTGCCCCCAAATTCAGGCAGCCAGGCACCTCAGGAGCCAGCACTGCCACCCAGCACAGCGGGAGGAGAGGGGCCAAGGAAGTGGCGGCTGCAGAGAGAAGCTCCTTCTTTCTTCTTGCTGAAGAGCCTGGAAACCAGCTGCTTTCAAAGACAACCTTTGCAGACCCAGCAGCTCCCAGGTCCTCCCTTTCAGCTCCTTTTTTGCCACCCAACTTTCCTGCCTGTGCGCACCATGGCAATGCTTCTCCTGAAGCAAGTGGCCGTTCCTACCAGATGCTTTCCCAGTGCAAGCTCCAGTCCTCGGGCAAAGCAGAGGCTCAGCCGTGGACAGTAGCAAAGGTCCCTATCCCCACATCTTGCCACCTCCCCCAGAAAGAGCCAGCACCAAATTATTTTTTTGGTTTAAGAAACAACACGCATTTGACTTCTGTACTTTCTAGATAAAAAAAAAAAAAAAAAAAATCCCCTTTAAGAGACTTTTTCTCTCTACCCAGGGGTCACAAAAGAGCACCCAGAGGCAACTGGGTGACCCCTCACCAACATCAAAGCTCTGGTTCAGCATCGCCTTCCCACAGCAGAGTGGCCAGGCCTGGCTTTTGAACTCAAACAGCAAATGCTCTCCCCATCTAACGCCACTCAGAGCAGAACAGGGACAGCAAAACCACTTGGCAAATCATCAAAGCTGTAGTTATAAAGCAGGTTCCAGCCCCAAGAAGCCCACAGCAAACCTTGATAGCTTCCAACCACCTCCCCAGCCTGGCAGTCTCCATGGCAGCCCGGGTTTCTTGCCAGCACCTTCGAGGGAGCTGCCACGGATACCTAAAAAAAATAATAATTAGCCTCTTGCCTCTGCGTGAAAGGCTCAGCCCTGTTTAAATACCCCGAACCTGTGGCTTTTCACTGCCATTGCTCCCCCTCCCTGGGGACCATCTGCATCTCCAAAAGCAGGGATGACTTGGTAGCACCGCAGCAGGGACAGGGGCTGCTTCGGGGGCTCCCCCATCACCACATTCTCCTGCTCTCACACTGATCTAGCACAGCGTCAGCCAAAAATCTCTCGCCAGCTTGTCTGCAACCTCCCCTAAACCAACCGGCAGGTCCAATCGTAACTCCCCTGGGAGCAGATGCCTTCCTGCCAATGGAGGAATGAAAAAACATAATGCGATGCGCGCGCACAAAAATAACGAGGCCCCAGAAACCAGAAAGATGCAAAAAATCCCTCCTCCTTGGCAAACAACAGACCTCAGCGTCTCAGCAGAGGGGATGAAAGTAGAAGCGGGATTGCTGCTCCTCATCTGATATTGAATCTGCTCTCTGCCAAGAGAAGGAATTAATTTGATCACCGTGCCAGGGTGGGGAAGACTGAAATACCCCAACTGCTCCCCAGGGTGGTTCCCTTGAAGCCTGGAGCACCCCAGCTCAGCATCGCAGGTGTTGGAGGGACAGTTTTGCATTGAAAGAGGAAACAGCCCCTTTCTGGAAGAGGGACCGTGCAGCAGGGCATGGAGGAGAGCTCAACCACCCAGAGGTGTCTGAGATGCTGCAAGAGCGAGACAACCCAATGCAAGTTATTTTTCATAACTATGGGGAGGTTTTTACGCCACCCCCAGCTTGGGGATCTGCTGCCTGGGCAGAGCTGCTGGGTCCATCCCCGCCCAGCACCGGCTGCAGCTCCTCAGGGGAACTTTAAGTCCCTTCCCCTTTCCAGCAGAGCGTTGCCGATGGGGCACGTTACGTCCTACGGGCAACGATAACGCGCGGCGGCTCTCCACGCTGGTCCCAGTGGGGTTTGCCAAGTGGTGGGCAACCAAGGCCGGCGAAGGTCACTTGGCTTCGCCAAGGCAGCGCATCCCCCCCCGCAGCCGCAGGGGTGCCAGGCAGGACGGCAGCGGAGCGGAGGGGCGCAGCGGCGAGCAACGGGCACCAAACCCCACGGGAGAGCTCTGCAGCGTGGGGCCCGTGCACTGAGAGTTCAGGTGGGCACAGGGGTCCATCCTGCTGAATTTTGTTATGATTTTTGGGTTTTTGTTTGTTTGGTTTTGTTTTTAAACAGTACAGGGAACATTCAACTAGAGTCTGAACGTCAGGGTCTCAGCTGAAACCAGAAGTAACCAATCTGAACCCAAGTGTTGTCAGCTACCAACACTCCCAGGCGAAGCAGGAGAAACATGTAAGCACCCTGGCTAATCGCTTCTCAACTACAGCTCCTCCAGGAGCATCTGAAAGGGAAGGATGTTCTCGATCATGCACTCAAGAAACAAGGATGCTCACGCCACGAAGGAACAGCAAGCATAAATTCAATACTCTTGCACAAAAGGTGCCGGCCGTGAGGAAGGGGGCTGTGAGGCCAGCGCCCAGCTCCCCTCCCAGGGCACGCAGCAGCGCTGGATTCGCACCCGAGCGGCACCGAGCAGGGCTTCAGGGGCGGCTGCTCTCACCTCCCTGCTCGCATATTGATTCAGCTACATAAATTATGCAGCACCTCTACTCCCGATTAATAGTGTTAATTGAGTTGGCAGGCAGGGAGCAGCGGGGAAATACTGTGAGGACGCACGGTCACGCACCCAACGCGCCCATAAATGCCAAAGCCGTCGCTTCAGGGTGCTGGCTGGGTCCTGTGGGGAGCGAGGGGAGTAAGGGGGGAGCTTCCCCCCGAAACATAACAGAAAGGAGCAGGCAGGAATTTACTCGGGCTCTCTGCAGCCACCCCCCGGGAGGAGGCGCAGCGCTGGGGGGCCGAGCATCCCCGCCGGGAGCGGAGGGGCGGCCGGGGCTGCGCGGAGGCGGGGGCTGCCGCAGCACGGCGGTTTATCGAGCATCAACCCAGACAAAGGATGCAGGAGAGCCCCCCCACCGCCAGCACCCCCGGAGCCAGACCCCCCCTCCTGCGAGCGCCCAAACGCTCTGAGCTCGGCTTAGTGCCCGCCCCACCCCCCGCTACTTGCGGGAAAACCCGCCGGCTCCTTCGGGAAGCTTCATCTCACCGCGCCCATCACCGCTACCGCGACGCCGCCCGGCAACCTGCCGCGGCGGGGCCGGGGGATGCTCGGGGCGCGTCCCCGCGGGGTGCCTCCCGAGGGAGGCTGCAGCGGGGCAGCCCAGCCCGGGGCGGGGGGGCGGGGTGGGGGGGCGCGGGGGTCCGGCCGCGGGGGTTGCAGTCACCCCGCGGGAACGGACCAGCGGCTCGGCGGGCGCCGCTTACCGTGGATGCCGGTCTGGTGAGTCATGGCTCCGCCGCGCTCCGCTCCGTCCCGCTCCGGCTCCGGCTCCGCCGCGTCCCGGGCAGGAAACGGCTCGGCCGGCAGCCCCGCCCGCTTCCGGAGCCGCGAGCGCGCCGCCCGCCCCGCCCCGGGGAGGAGCCGCCGCCCGCCCCGCCCCGCCCCGCCCCGCCCCGCCCCGTCCCGCCGCACTGCGGCGCCGCCTGGCGGAGCGGGGTGGCGCCGCGCCTGCCCCGGCCATGTCCGCCGAGTGGCTGCGGCGGTGGCGGCGGGGCGGCCCCGCGGAGCGGCCCGGCGCCGCGAAGGGACCCGGCCCGGGCCCGCCGCCCGCCGCGCTCCGCTACCGCCGCCCCAAGTTCCTGCGCGGCGGCGGTGAGGAGAGCCCGCGGGGCGGGCGGGCCGTGCGCGGCACCGGGCCCGAGCGGCCCCTGCCCTGGGGCGCGGGCTACGCCGAGTGAGTGCGGGCCGGCAGCGGGGCCGCCCCGGGAAGGGGGGAGAGACCCCCCCGGGGGGGGTGGGAGGCGGGGTGCGGCGTCTCCCGGGGCGCTTGCAGGGGTTTGGCGGGGAGTAGTGCAGGTCTGGGGGGGGACGCCCGGGGTCTGCGTGGGGTTAGGGGGCGCGTGGGGGGGGGGTGTTTAGGGGACTCCTGGGGAGGGGCTCGCACCCCACTTGCTCCCCTCGGCTGCAGCCCCTGCCCAAGCGCGGAGAAGGGCGGCTCGCCGGCGGGAATCGGGCCACCCCCGCCCGCCGGGAGCGGAGCCGCTTCCTCCTCCCGCCGCAGCAGCGCGGCGGGGCGCGGTGTCGAGGTGCGGTGTCTGTCGGGGTGCGGTGTCTGTCGGGGTGCGGTGTCGGGGTGCGGGGTGGCGGCGTGTCTCCCCTCCCCGCCCGGGGCTGGCAGCAGCGTGGGACGCGCCGGCACCCTGACAGCCGCAGAGCTGGGCACCGTGGCTTGTAGCAAGTGGCCGGGGCAGCCCTGAGAGCAAGAGCCGGGCAGCTCTAGTATCTCATGCCTTAATGCGGTGGTGCCTGAACCCTAATTTTCCTGCTGGGATGTCACCCGTCCCCCTGCGCGGTGCCCTGGTTGCAGGGAGCTGGTCAGGCAGGGCTCTTCTGCTGTGCTGGGCAGCGGCGGGTAGAAAGTGCCCTGTGGCAGCGGGGAGCAGGGAAGATGCTTGGGGCAGAGGGTAAGTTTCTTGGGTCTAGCAGCACCAGGTGTCTATCCCCTTGCTCCTAGCAAAGCACCTTTAAAATGAAAGGAGGGGGAAGATCAGATTTTTAGAAATCCATGAGTTTCCCATTTTTAAGGGCAGAGGGGATCGATCAGACCAGCAGCTTTCTCCACATCCTGGCTGGACACGTCACAATCCCATGGTCGTGAGATGGAGCAGTGTGGAGAGAGGAGCTGTGCAAGGAGGGCAAACTCCCATCCAGGGACAAACATTAGCAAGGCTGGAAGGAAAAACAATGGTGGTGGTTTTGCAATTCGCTGTGTCACCAAGGAAATGGCACAGCGTGGGCTGGTGGGCTGCTGAGGACTGCCTGAGGCCAGGGTGCTCCAAAACCACTCATCCCTGTGTCCCTGGCCAAGATTTTCCCCACTGTACATAAAGAACTTATTATTTAGGTCCCCAGCAAAGAGATCCTCGAGTTTGAAAAGGGAGCAGGGAGCGTATGGCTGGAAGGAAGGGCTAAGGGTGCCACGGCTTCGGAGCACCCAGCACAGCTGGCTGGGAGCAGGCAAGGTGCAGTGCATCCTCACACCTTACCTGGAGCGTTTGCACACACACCCCCCCCCCCCCCCAGGGTTATCAATGCCGAGAAGTCGGAGTTCAACGAGGACCAGGCGGCCTGCTGTCAGATCTCCATCCGGAGGAGAGAGCCAGGCCAGGAGGAAGACGAGGAATGGCTGATCCTGTGCTCCACACAGGTAAGGCTTCCAGGCAGGCTGTGCTCACCCTGCTGCTGGGCCTGGGCCAAACCCAAGGGCCCAGGTTTGGGAAACACGGAGTGGCCCCATCAGTCCTGCATGCCCACAGGCTGAAACCCTTCCTTGGATGCATTTAGGTGACCCACATACCCCTATGTCTGCCCAGCAAACGCCCAGCTCTGCCTGTACATGCCATTTCTTCTTCCATGGCTTGTGGCATTTGAGGTTGTCCAAGCCCTTTACTTGGTGCCCTCACCTTTCATTTACTGTCCTCGCTCTGCTTTCAAGGGCCGGTGTTTGTGCTGTCATCACGTGGGGACAGCAGCATGGACCAGGCACACAGAATGCTCTCACCTGGGAGTGGCTCTGCCTCGTCTCTTGTAAAATGGCCCTTTCTCCCTTAAAACACAGAGGAATAGTGCATGAGGGTGAGTGGCTGCGAATCCAGCCGCTCAGAGCTCAGGTGACGGGCCTGGCAGAGCAGCGCGTGGGCATGACATGAGTTTGGGCTGTGCAGGAGATTGACTGATGGCCAAAGAGGGTAGCTGGGGTGGAAAATCCAGGCAAAAGACATACAGTAATGTCCTGGCTGCGAGCTTGCCGTCTGTACGACACCTCCAGCCCCTGTCTTGACCTTCTTCCCCACTGCAGTTTCTGACTGGCTACTACTGGGCACTGTTTGATGGCCACGGTGGCCCAGAAGCTGCCATCATCGCCTCCAACTATTTGCACTACTGCATCAAGCAGAAGCTGGAGGAGGTTGTGGGAGGCATCACAGAGGCCCGTCCCCCCATGCACCTCAGCGGACGCTGCATTTGCGACAGCGACCCCCAGTTTGTGGAAGAGAAGCACATCCGTGCAGAAGACCTGGTGGTGGGAGCGCTGGAGAATGCCTTCCAGGAGTGCGTGAGTACCCGGAGCAGGGCACCAGTCCTGCTGCCCCGAGCAGTCAGTCTGTCCCTCCCCACTGCCCGGGGTGGGCAAGGTCTGCACTTCTGCGGCTCGTAGATCAGGCAGGAACATTCGGCCAAACCTTTTAAGTGTGCTGAGATCGCACTGGGTCAGCTCCCCAAGACCTGCCTCAGATCTATTGCACATCAGCAGTGCTGACCCAGAGCAAAGCTACAGCATCTCTGCTAAACTGCACCCAGGGGATGCATTTCTGGAGGGCTAAGCAGTGGCTGTTGTCACACTCATACAGAGCATGCAAGTTTGAGATCTCCCCATCATGCTCCTAAAGCAGTCCTTAGTCGAGTCGCAACAGCTCTGTTGGCTGTACCGAAGCAACATTGTCTTTCACCTATGCTGGTTTCTTGTGGCCCACCTGCAATCAGTTTTGGCTCTGGGTTTCTTCTGGGAGGCTTGAGGTAGTTGCAGAAAGCAGCAGCCTGGCTCATATCACTCTCCAGACTTGTTTAAACCAACAGGATGAAGTCATCGGCCAGGAGATGGAAGCTACAAACCAGATGGGAGGCTGCACTGCTCTGGCTGCCCTTTATATCCAGGGAAAGCTGTATGTGGCTAATGCTGGGGACAGCAGGTGAGCTGTTATAAATGGGGAAGGTTGCTGGAGGATAAGCAAGGTTTCCAGCATCATATTTAATCCTGCAGAAGGCAAATGTGGAGCCCAGCCATTTCCCTCCTGCCTGCCACAAGACCTGTTGGAAGGATGGGTGCTCTCACACCTCCTGGAAGGGTTTGGGGATTTCAAGGGACTAACACTGCCCAGCCCCAGGGAAGAACTGGGGTGGTAGTGCAGCAGTGAGCTCATCCTGGTGGGTGTGTAAGAGTGGAAGGTGGTTTCAAGGCATCGTGAAGAGCTTCTTCATTTGGCCTTGGCCCACCATTCTTCTCATAGAGAGCTCTGCCATTGTCAAACCAAGCAAGCTCAGTTCTCTGCTGCAACGGTGCAATTGCAATAGAGTTATTTAAAATACACCAGTATTTTTAAACATTTCTGGGTGCAGAACTATTCTCACATTGCGCTGCTGTTGGTTTCCCCCCAGCCCACACCTGGCTGACCCTGCACCTAGCCTCGGTGAGGGGAGGGCTGCAGTGACAGACACAACTCAGCTCTTTGCCTCTTCCCCCTCATAGGGCGATTCTTGTTCTGAAGGACAATGTCGTGCCCATGAGCTGCGAGTTCACACCTGAGACAGAGAGGCAGCGAATCCAGCACTTGGTGAGTGATTCCTCCTGTGCATCAGACAATCCTGCTGCGAGCTTCCCACTGGGGCAGAGAGGGCTTGTGGCAAGAGGACCACCAGCCTTCCTTGGAGGCCACTGTGTGACCAGAATGTCATCTGGCCAAGGAGGGCTGGGGGCAAGATTCATCCACCAGCCTTTAGTATGGGAGATGCTCGCGTCCTCCTTAGGATGTGCTTTCCCAATTCTGTTCTCCATTCTGCTGCTGGGAGTGCCAGTCCCAAGGCAGAAGCAGTTTTGGTGCCCTACTCCGCTGAGGCAGAACCTGTCCATCCTCATGCTTTACCTTCCCACCTCTAGGCTTTTCTTTTCCCGAAGCTCCTGGATGGCGAGTTCACGCGCTTTGAGTTTCCACGGAGGTTGAAGGGAGATGATGTGGGCCAGAAAGTCCTGTACCGGGATTACTTCATGGAGGGCTGGTGAGTCCTTTCTGCCTGAGGGCAAGGCTGCAGCACAGGGCAGCTCTACCTGCTCCCAGCGATGGGGAGGTGCAGGGATAAGGGGCATGCCCCACTGGTGAGAGCAGTGGGCTTGACAGTGCAAAGCTGTGCCAGATCAAGTGAAGGATGCTGTGAGCAGCCTCCCTCTGAGTGAAGACCTGCAGCCCCTGTCAGGGCAGTTAGGGAACAGTTGAGATGGTCTTTCTGGGATCCTGCAAGGTGGGACTGGTGCAGGGAGTCTCAGGCTGGAGCAGGTACAAGTTGGGGAGGACCGGGAGAGGGAAAAACACCTGGGCGTTCAGCAAGGGGTTGTCTTCACTGCATCTGCTTCAGCAAGACACCTTGCCCCTTCCTCAGTCAGGTGCCTGCGCGTGGAGGCACCACAAGGGTCAACTCACAGGTGAAATGCTCTTGCTGGGTTGTGCCGTCAAGTCAGACAAATCCCAAATTGACAGTGAATTCTCTGTTCTAGGGGATACAAGACGGTGGAGAAAGCCGACCTCAAGTATCCTCTTGTCCACGGTCACGGGAAGCAGGTAGCTTCATGTTTTACACAGTGGGAAGGCAGAGGCAAGTCTGCTGGGGGTCCTCAGCATCCCTGTCACGCTCCAGGGCACTATGGCAGACAGGCTGCAGAGCACCCAGTGCTCTGGGGCTCTCCAACATGGTGCAGTCCCACAGCCCCAGTACAGCAGCTCCCTGTGCTAGCACTGTGCTGCCTGGTTAGTGTAAATCAGAGCCCTCCGGTGTGGTGGGGTTGCACCCTCCTCCAGAGTACCTGCTAGCGGCACAGACAGCAGCCCTGAGCCCACCTGCCCTTTACTCATCTCCCCTTGCACACGAGAACTCATTTCAGATGAGAACTTATCTCGTCAGATCCCACTTGGGACTGTCTCCTCCAGCTCTAACTGGTGCCTTTCCCACAAACCCTCAAGGGGATGCTGAGAAAAGGACCCTGGAGAGGGGAGGAGGAGGCAGGGAGAAGCAGTGACTGCACACATCCAGCATCTACCCGCTGGGGTCGAGCAGAAAGTCCCGTCACCTCCCACAACACTACAACCCCCATGCCACCCTGTGCGAGCCTGCACAGGCAGGATGCAGGAACAACCACAAAACCACAGATGAAATGCAAAGAGTAGATTTATTCCCGTTGCCTCGTGACCCAGGGGATCCCTGCAGCAGCACCCGGGCAGAGGCATGCAAGCGGGGACACTGGCACTGCAGAGCTCAGTCCTTGCTAGCCAGAAAAAGGAGAAAAAGATCGTGAACTCGCTGCTTTTGCCTGTATATTGAGGATTTTTGCAGGCATAGTTTTCCACTGTGCTTTGATCTTTCCCACACCAGGGCAGGAATCTCAAGGATGTTCAGTAAGGTGCCTCTGAGTCTGTCACAGGCCTGTATTATCTAAACAGACATTGTACCTATCAAGCACACAAAGCTAAATAACGAGCAGTATACATGTTTTTCAGCACCCCAGCTGCAAGTCACTTGGGTGTGTTTACAATCCTCCTCGCCAATCTTCCACTGTATTCCCACACACTCCCTCTGCGAGGAGTCAGTGCAGAGCCTCCTTTGCCAGGAAAAAGGACCCCTTCCCCTCATTCCCAACCTACCCAGTTTTCTTCCTCACCACCCCAAATCAAGAGCAGGTGCCACCATGGGCTTCCTGAGGCCTGTAGCATTACCCAGAGCACACATATGAACTCCAGAGCAGGAGGTGTCCATGTGCAGGCTGTCTCCACACTCCATTCAGGCCATCGCTTCTGACCACTCCTCCATCTCTGAAGTCTCCAAGGGCTGTTCTGGGTCACGCTTGGAGATTGGTCCTAAAGGCAACACAGATCAGTCAGGACAAGCCACACATCAGCATTTCCAGGTGCCACATGCTTATGTTTCAATACTGTTTTGTTTTGTTTGGGACCAGGCTCGCTTGCTGGGGACTCTGGCTGTCTCTAGAGGTCTGGGGGATCATCAACTCAAAGTCATCGACACCAACATTGAAGTCAAACCTTTCCTCTCCTGCATTCCCAAGGTCAGTCATGGCACACAGGAATTGCAGGATGGAATTAAACATGCTGCTCCTCCTCTGTAGCACCCACCCTTTACAGACCTGGCAGGTCTTAGCGGTGTCATTTTTCCATCCCCCATCTCTCCCAGGACAGAGGAATCTGGAAGCATAGCAGCAAGGGGATGTATTTAAAGCACCCTGGTTCCACTTTGTCTTCTCTGAGGGAGTAATCTCCCTGACCCCTCTGGTACACCGCAGGAATCATCAGTGATTTACTCTTGTGCTTTTTAGGTGAATGTATTTGACTTTGCTCCACATGACATTAAGGAAGACGATGTCCTCGTCATGGCAACTGATGGCCTTTGGGATGTTCTGTGCAACAACGAAGTGGCCCATATGGTCAGGAGCTTCCTTGCAGAAAACAGGACAAGTCCTCACAGGTAGCACCAACTTTGCCATCGCTTTCCCTTCCAGAGAACCTGGTCAGACCAAAAGCAGGCTGAGACCACTTTGCTTCTAGGTCAGCTCTGGCATGACTGAGCACTCTTTTCTGTGACTCAGGGAGACTGCCTTCAGATCTTTGCCCATCCTAAAGAAACAGTGCTAAAGCTGGTGACTTTAAAAAAAAAAAAAAAAAAACAAAAAACAAACAAAACCCTACTATTTTGACAGCATAAAGCCACATCTCAGTGTTGTTCTTAAGGGAATAATGTCATGTTAACTCAAACCTTGCATTTTTTTCCACCCACAGATTTTCAGAACTGGCCAAGTGCTTGGTATGCAGAGCAAGGGGAAAGAAGATAGGCCACCAGTGGATGCTGGATGACAGCCACGAGGCATCCTATGATGACATCTCTGTATTTGTCATCCCACTACACAAGAGGGATGAGGACTGACTGTTAGAATGACATGCAGGATCTCTGTATCCCCCCCCACTGTGGTGCTGTTCAGCATCAGCTGGAGACAGAGGGATTTCTGCTGTGCGTGTACACTCTCTTCCAGCAAAACCATCTGCAGTGGAAGCTGAAAATGCTCAGCCAGCAGTTATGCAGAAGATCAACAGAAACATTAGCTCCTTTAAGAACACGCAAGAAAAGAATAGTGGGCAACAAATCATTCCCCTTACTCCTTTCTCATTGTTGGGCCAAGGAGAAATTGCAAAGGGGGCCATGCAAGCTGAAGGATACTATTTCTAAGATCTTTGCGGTACAGCAAGATTCAAATCCGTTTCTAGTGACCCCTCTCCATTTTTAATATTGAAGAATGAGGATCAGTTGAGAACCAACCAGGCTGAAGAGCTGGCTTTTAATCAGACTTGAACTAAGTTGTGTAAAACCAGATGCACAAGCTAAAGCATCCCCCGTACCCACTGGCTGTAATGGGAGATGTACTGAAAACCCAGGGTTGCTGGTGTGACAGCATTAGGTGATGCAGACACTGAGGCAGTAGCCCAGACCTCTTCAGAAAGTTGCCATTTGTAGGCAGCGCCACCTCAAAACAGATGATGATAGCAGATGGAGCTACACATTGGTGTGTACAGGAGCCTCCTGTGTAAAGATAACTGCCTTACTGTTATTGAAGAGCATTGAAGTATATTAGTATGTAATGCAACATAGAGATTTCTAACAAATCTCAGTCCACAACACTTCCTAACGCTTCTGTTAATTCAGGTCATTTCTGACAGCAAAGCTGGTTTTGTAGCAGCAGGACTGACAAGAAGCAAAGTGTTTTAAGTACATCAGCTGATTTACAAGAGCTCCAAATAAAACAAACCTGGTTTGTTCAAATTCATCTGCAGTGCTGAGTCCAAGCACTTACACTCATTATAACAGGCACAGCAGCACGGCAGACATGCCAAACAGAGTCGTGCCTTAAACTGAGGATCTGCTTCTCAACCCGTTCATTAGCCAAGAAAATTCGGGTCTGGACAAGCTTCCCAACTCCAAGGCCCTACCTGGGTTTTTGTTATGTGTTACACAAGGTGCAAGATTCCATAGTGAAGCTGACAAACCCGTGTGTTTTAAGTTCCACAAGGATTAAAGTCCAAATAAAAATACTTTCCCCCCACCATCTTGCTGCAGTTTTACTCCTGCCAGAAGTTTAAAACAGACCCAAGATGGAGAAAAACAGCCTTAGAAAAACCACAGAAGCGTTTTTGCTTTGGATTTGTCTTTGCCAAAAAACAGTTTGTCACTGAAGTGTTCCCTTAGCAGTACTGCCCCAAGGGCTAGGAGTCAAAAGAGTTTCCTGCAGCGGGAAGCCTGGACTCAGGAATGACGCGGCCTTCTGAGCTCTCTGCTCATCATTTTAGCAAGGGATGGAACAAAACCCATTTCTCTCCAGCTTCCCTTTCCCCCATCCTCTTGAGCTTAACCTGGGAACAACACACACGGGGTTTTACCCATGTGAGCTTGATGCTGGCTGCTGCCCCCCCTACAGCAGCTGCAACGCTCCACAGACTACCTGTAATGATCCAAGCCTCCCATTACTCCAACCCAACAAGCTGTTGCCCCACCTTCCTGCTGAGAAAGGGCTCAGCTTTTCCATCCAGACCACAGGCTTCTGTGAACACTCTTCTACCCAGGGCACCATTCCTCAACAAGTAGCTGTCACAAGACTGCTTCCCCATCCCAACCCATTCCTAGGCAAGAAAAAATTCTTAAAATGAGCAGTTGATGTAGGGATAACTTCAGAGCATCACAATTTCCACTACAGAGCTTCTGACTTCCCCAAATAAAGGGGTTTTTAAAAATATTATTTTCCCATTACCCTTCTAAGAAACCAGCAAGTTGTGTCACACCAGACAAACGCAGAATTTACAGAACTCATTGATCTCTACAAAATATTTATTGGTAACAGCCACAACATTGAATTCTCTACATATGTAGTATTTTGCGACAAAGAATAATTTGACTTTATGTATTTACACTCATCTGGCAGATACCACCTAGGAGTCAAACTCCCCATACCAGGTCGTGACCAAAGAGACTAGTTTCCAAGGCTCGCCAGGATCATATTCCCTGACCCAAAACCAAGGCGAAGTCTCTTAAAGTGCAAATATACTCAAGAGGCATTGGAAAAGATACACTGCTGCTTCCAAATTTGTTCACTCCGTTGCTCCCATGTCCCCCAGAGCAGGGATTGAGACATTAAGCAAGGACCTGGGAACCAAAATAAAAAACAAACAAAACAAAACAAAAAAAAAAAAAAACACAAAAGAAACAAACAAAAAAAACCCCAGAAGCAATCTCTCCCAAAGACTGACTTGGGGAATTACACCCAAAAATCTCCCACAGCCCAAGCAGATGTGCTCAGCCACCACCACTGCTTATTTAGAGGTGGGCTGCTGAGCCTAACTTCCCCCTTGTTTTGAAGTAAGGTCTTTACTTCATCCCAAAGAACATGGGGGGATTGATCTTTTCAATGACAAATTTGGAGAGGGAATGCAGTTTCCTGGTTGGTTTTACATAAGGTTGGACACTCAATTAGACCTGGGAGTGCTGTTTTTAATGAGGTCCATTTCTCATTAGCTGGCTGCCCTGAAGAGCACAGGAATTGCAGTCCTGATCCTTTCAGAGCAGCATACAGATGCTAAAAGCTTTATTTACCTTTCCTGTCTAATCTTCTAGAAACTCACGATACTAAAGTTCCTTGACAATACTTGGTACATTTCCCTCTTTTGAAGACGGAAAACACACAGTGCAACATCAGCCAAGAAAGATGTCTTTGCCTGTGTGGGTGGCAGTCAGCCCTGGGAAGGCATTCAGCTTCAATTTTGAACTGAGCATTAGTGCTGCGTTGTGCAAGAACCTGTAAGCTTAAAAGCCAAAAAGCCACTGATGTACTTAGTGTATGTGTCCTCCTACATCGACCCTGCAGTCCTCCTCAGACATTTCATGCTGCAACACACAACAGTTGTACACTGGAAGTGGCTAAGTGCTGAACAACAGTCTTTAAACAACTGCTCAAACCACATTACAGCATTTTTAGAATAAAAGACTTCCAAATGCTCCCCCCTGAAAAGTAACAAGGAAAATGGTTGGAGGCTATCTATTCACTTCCTGAGGCAACAGACCTGGTAAAACTCTGAAAGAGGCTTTGCTACTGAATGCTAAAATTTAACTGTTAAAATGCACTAAATACCCCAAAAACTGGGATGTTACAGACAACTGCAAAGTACCGCTGCTTACAGAAACACCAGCGATGGTAAAATAGCACCAAGCAGCCTGAAATGCAACAATACTGAGTTGAAGTGGTGGCTGTGGAACACTAGTCAACAGTGAGGACCAGTAACCATCTCTCTTCGCGCTGGGCATCTACAGGTGATGCTGGGACAGTACAGGAAGAGGGATGCTGGTCTAACAGCATGAATCTCTCACGTGCATCTCCAGCAGCAGGCCTGTTTGGCAAGATCAAAAAAGCCTCAGTCCGCTGTTCCCCTCCCTCCTCCAGTCTGGAGGAGAGCAAACACATCACAGACCTGTGCTGTTAGAAACAGCTCGGCACTGGTGTGGTACCAACAGCAGAGGGAAGGCACGGAGCCTAAGGAGAAGCTCCCACCACAGCACCGATCCAAACAAAGTCTGTCCAACTGCCTCATGCGGGCAGGCCTCCTGCCAACTGTCACAGGCAGATGCTGCAGCTCAGCACGTGCTGCTACTTGAAAGGAACCAGAATGGAGAAATGCTCACTCCCCAGCCCCAGCTCTTAGCACAGCACATTTTCACCGAGAAGGACTGGGGGCAGGGGGGAAGAAAGGCAAGGAAAAGCAAAAAGGAAGAAGCTGGTCTACAAGACAATTTACTTCTCTAGGGAGACATGCTCTGAATTCTATACAGGGCTGCACAATTGAGATGAACTTTGCTGTAATAAGAGAATATCTAAGCAACTGACCTGAGGTAAAATGCTTGAGCATGGCTTCCCAGCATGGACTGGCACTTGAGAGCAGAGAGAACATGCCCATATTGTCCTTGTCACCTTACCAGCATTTTACATGTAGGACAGGGGAAGCACACGTGACTGGGCAAGGGAAAGAACTGACATTCCAAGCTGTGACCCAGCACATAAAACCAAGTGTGTTTGGAGAGGCAAGAATACAATGCACACTACATTTACGCCCAGCCTCAGTTCATGCATTTGATCAATGCAGCGTTTCAGGAAAAAGAGACTGGAACCAGGCTTGAAAACCAGCTTGCCATCCTTTCTGTGCCGTTCGCCCACAAGCCCCTCTGGAGCAGGAGAGCACATCCCTCCCGCCTCTGCAGGGGCGTTCCTTGGAGCAGGGCCACAGCAAAGCAGTCAGCACAGTCACATGTAAGATTTTTAAAATTCAATTCTGAAGACACCATCTGACAAATGAAGCATCGCTCTTTCAGGGCCATCACTGAAAACCTGCAGGACCTGTAACAAGATGCATGATGAACTAACTGCACATCAGTTTTATCAACGAAGGGATACAGGTCTAAAGCCTGGTATGGGGAGGATTTAATGGAGCTTATTTACAAACCAGGAGGGGAAAACTGCATGAGTGAAGGTAAACAGCCTAGACACCCCACAATACTGGTCCACATCATATTCTTTAATATCTAAAAGTAAAAAAATATGGCCCATTCCCCCTCCCCCCCCCCCCCACCCCCCCCCGATATGTACACATAAGAACAGCCATGGTACATAAGATACACAGGCAGACTGTGTCTTCAGTCTCAGTTTGGTTTCTCCATCTTCCTGTCGACAAGACTCCTTTATTGCTTGGGACACTGACCGGACCTCAGCAGTACTGTCTGCTCCCTCCAGGATGCTGGCACAGCAAACAGCAGGGAGGCTTCGGCAAGCTCAGGCAGTGGGCAAAACCTGTATGGTTTGTTGCACACTAAATCACCAAAAAAAGGATGACAGGGTGTATCATGTCTATTTACAGTCAATCACTCTTTCGGCACATGTTCTGCTGCAAGAGAATCCAGCATCTGCTGTTTAAGTTGAAAACTGTCAGTGTTCACATTTGGCACAGAAGTAACTTTGCATCTGTGGACTGCAGTGAAACCAGAGATCCCAGATGTGAAAAACATGCACTTATGGGAAGGAACTGCACGTTCCACGTTGGAACGTCAATAGCCCTGTGCACTTACAGAAGGAAAACATACAATTACAGCCTAAAAAATGCCACAAACATTTTGTAATTAAACCAGACTTCACTGTTCTTAGAAATAATACTGTGTCAGTTCCAACTTCAGCTGAAGCCTGCTGGGCATGGACTGGAAGGTAAGAATGTACAGCATGCCACTTCTGAACATGCTAGGGGGCCGAGTGAGGAGTCCTTGCAAAGGAATGCAGCAAATAAAGGTAAGACATCTGGAAACATATGCAGAACAGGAACACGGTCTAGGAGACCTAGGCAATTCCAATACTATGCTTGCAGTGATGTGCTGCTGTTAGCAGTATGGAAGTTATCCGACAGCAGCTGCAATGTAGGAGTTAGTCGTCAATAGTTGGCAACCAGAAGGCCTACAAGAGGAAAGAACATCTTTTACAGAGCAGAACACAAACCCTTCCTACAGCACACTGCAGGAGCTGATCACTGCTACCTCTGTAAGCACACAGGCAGAGACTACCGACGAGGCAGCAACACCCTCCCAGCAGTTTAAGGTTACAATGCTTGCTGACACTGGTTTGGTTTGCATTGCTTGTTCTCCAGAGCAAGCCAGTCTTAAAGTGAAAATGCCAGGCGTGTACCGTGGCCTAAAGAACGCATCCTTCTGTATGAGTGCGCATTCACGCACTGCGCTCCTTGCGTGTGTGTTCACACGCCAGCTGGGCTGCCCCACATAGCTATCTGCCAGGCAAGGCGCAGGCTGGGCATAACAGAGAAGGGCCTGGCTCTCACCAAAGCCCAGGGAAATACCCATCAGTGGCACTGAGCCTTCTCAGATTCTTTTCTAAAAAGGTCAGCACCTCATTGAGCTAGGAGGAACTTAAAATCCTTTCCTTACCATATTGGAACATGCGCTAGCAAAAGTCATGAATTTTGGATTGAACTGCAGACAGGTTATAGGACCTGTGTGTTTCCCATCCAGCACAGCCACTTTCATCCCGCTTTCCCCATTCCAAACATGAATCTTCCCATCCTCCGAACCTGCAGGCAGGAGTAGAAAACAAAATATGCAAGATATATTGGAGAGGCCAGCAGAGGAAATGAAGAACTTAACCTTTTCTGTCAGAGGACTGCAGGACCAAGCATGCCTTTAAAAAAAGGTTAAAGCTATGCCTTAACCTTTAAAATTCTCAAAGTATCACTAGGGCATTTACAAAACATCACACACCTGTATCCAAACAGCAGGTTTGTATCTATCTCTGCACTACAGAGTCTCAGTTACACACCACAGTGCACCACTGTTCTGGCAATGAGGTTAACAACTACAGTCACCCAGTAGAAAAGGAGAGCTGACACCATCCAACGGAGGAGGACAGACCCTTGTCAACTTGCACCGATGTGCAAGAGGCCAAAAGCTAGGTGTAAGAGTCATTGTTCACACAAGTTCTCAGTTCAGACACAGGAGATAAATATTTCACTTGGTAGGCACAGAATCAAATCAAAGGCTTTTGACTGAAGGTAACCAGATTTCAAGGCACTGTGCCAAATGCCAGAAGCTTCACTGGATATGTCGACGCTCCATATTGCTACAATGGGACAGTTTTTTCACTTTAAAATGGCATTTTGCAAATTCTGAGGCTGGACACCTAACATTTTTATAATCCAATTCTATTTTAGTCTCATTTTAAATAGGACTCCTAATAAAAATGCAAGGAGTTTTCTTCTGCTTCTATATTTGTATGTACAGCTTTTCAGGGAGGAAAAATTAAGCAGCACAAGTTACAACTTAACCATATGTGAAAAATGACAGAAGTGTTTTGGAAATTCTTCCGCTATAGTTTTAATTTGGAAGGGCACAACAGGAAGGTAAATATGTGCAATAAAGTGCTCTCCAGAGACAGACTAAACAAAGAATTCCATCCACCTTCTCTGAAATAGGGAAGTTCTCAGCCAGAACAAAAAAACAGAACTTTTGTCAAGGCTATCACTTATTCAGGAAAAATGAGGATCTGGATACCAATTACCACAAAGTTAAACATATTTGATGTACCAGCCATATAAATAAGAACAAAAAGAAAGTGCTAGGAGAGGGCAGCACCGCACAGATGCATCTGACTTGTGTTCATGGGTCCTGTTGGGCAGCAGAGTGTAGTGCTGACTCAAGTGCTTACCTTGGGGTACCCAGCCTGCAGCAGCAGGCTTTGCAGGAGTTGCAATTGCTTTTTGCCACCTGCTTCACTCAGGAGTCCCTCCTGCAGGGGGTGAGGAAGGGGGCCTGGGCCAGAGAAATCACATGCTGGCAGCCATCAGGCTGATGCCTACTGCTTCTATCAAGGGTAAAGCAGGCTTGTTCTGCAGACATGGGGGTTTACAAGAGCCCCATGAACAAAATGCAGCTGCCCCAGTGCACATCACCAGTGCAGGAACGTCCCTGAGAGGTGTACGAACGCACCAGGTAACGAGACCAATCGCCCAAGCACAGATTGGTGCCTTGCTCATCAGGCAGTGGAGGGCAGGCCACAACATATAGTCCCAAAACGCCTTGAGGCAGCACATGAGCGCATCCTAGCCACAGCGTGAAGATCACTGACAGAAATTATGTGACAGGTCTCCATGCATTACAACGGTTTGACAGTTTCTTGTATTTTTTTGAATTAGCATTCATTTATTGAGGAAAAAATAAAATTCTTGCAGGCTCATTTACATTTCAGACTAGAAAATACTGAGTAAACTAACAAAACAGGAAACTGCCAATGCAAAGAACATTTATAGCTGCACTGTATTATTTAAATACATTCTGCTTCCCAACAGACACAACTTTAGTCCTCTATAACACACCTAATTTCAGAGCACTGAAATTCTTTCCAAGAAGAATTATCTTACCTATCATGATGAACTGAGAGTCTGGTGTGAATGATGCCTCCAGCGTGACAGCCTTACTATTGTTATACCCCTATGGCACAAAACAGGAGAACACGTAGTAGAGTGTGTCCACAGTAATCTCACAACCAAAGGGCACCTGCTCCCAAAACTAACACCAAGTTTCAAGCAGGTAACACAGGCAACATGCTCACCCCAAAAGTATGCAAGATGGCTCCTTTAAAGGCATCAATCAGTCGAATGAACCCTCCATTAGTCGATATGAGGATGAGTTTGCCATCATTACTGAACTTCAGGCCTGTCCACTCACATGTTCGATCATACTGCATCTTAAATGTAGCAAATGGCCCCTTCGAAGACAAAATGGAAAATATGATGTAGACTCTTTATGTGTTGCTGCTAACAGGAGTCTGCTTTTAATCCTAGTTCAGGAAAAAGTTTAAGACTTCTGAAAAGAAAATCTTTAGTCCTAAGATACCAAAGGAAAATGTCACGGCAAAGCCATGTCACTGCATGCGTAAGTTTCAAAGAAGTATGACTCCAGAGTTTCTATAGCAAAAAAGAACCACAGCAGGGTGTTTCAATACCCAAAAATCCCATACTCTACCTCATTCAACAGCAGAAATTGAAGTAGAATGAAATTTTCAAACAAGGCTGCTAACTGAAGTTAGAGAAAGAGCTTGAGCCACTGTTATCGTCCTCTGACTTTCTGAAAACCATGGACCTGACTATGCTCAGTGCTTAGACAGTTCAGCTGCCTACACAGTTAGTCTCCTTTGAAATTTCCATCCTTTCTGATAATCCTGGCTCCATCTTTGCCAGTGTTCTTCCAGAATAAGCAGCAAGGGAAAAAGAACAAAACAAAAACCACCAAAATGCAACAACAAAAAGCCTAAACAGGAGTTCAGAACAGAGGAAAGAGTCAGCAGAAGTAAACTTTAACATTGGTTCAAAAGTAGGTTTCAGGATTTAGTGACATCACTTATTTCTGTCTGTCAGATGTGTACTTACCAAAACTCTCTAGGTGCCAAGCAGGCAACCCAGATAGTAAGGTGAAGTAAAGAAATCCAGCCTCTGAGCACTGAGTTTAGACTACTTCTTGCAAGCTAAGAAGTATAAGAAATGAAGTTAGGGTAGCTCACCTTGTCAAAAGAACGGAGATCGTAAAGCTTCACCATTTCAGAATTGACTCCCGCAGCAAAAATCAACCCTTCTGGGTCAAAAGAACACACAGGCTTCCCCTGGAGATGCATTAAACCCTAGAAAAACAGAAGTAGTCCAAATTATTTTGCAAAACCGATGCTCACATCAGTTCTACCACAGCTCTTTCAGCAGAATAGCAGCCTGCAGATGGAACAACTGAATTTCAGTTGTAAATATTAAAGTTTTACAAAGGTTCAGGACTCAGCTTCTCAAAAGCAACTCTGATTACTTCAGGTCATCATACAGAGCTTCTAGTTTGCTGCAATGGCAAAGTTTACATGAGAACAAATCAAGACCTCATTAGAGCTGTCATCCTCTCAAAAAGTACCCACAGAAGGGAGGATGATGTAGCTGTATTAATAATGATACCAGACGGTGTCACAACACACTGCTGCTGGGATTGACAGCAACGTTCTACCAATTATGGTTGGGAAGGAGGGAAAAAAAAAAAAGGGAATTTGAAACCAAGTAGAAAGAGCTCCGGTGAACACCGCTGCTGAACTTTCTATGCCTGTCTAATGCAAATCCATACCTTCTGACAGCCAACAGAACTTATTTTTAATGTTAACTTTTCCTCTACTCACATAGTGGAAAAGACCTGAGAAAATTTGGTAAAACCCAACAAGATAAGTAATTTTCTCTTTCCTGACTGGCAGGTCTGTGTGTGTTAGCCAAATGTCTTTATGTAACTGTATGCACATAAATAAGAACACATCTTTGATTAAGTCAACAATATATTTAAGAAGCTTCTGCATTTCTGAAATACCACTCTTCTCTACAGAATTCTAGAGACTTCACCACTTCTTTTCAGTTTAGGTCAGTTCAATCACCTTCAATTCAGGTCAGTTTTCCCCATGATCTCCGAAGGCTAGGCAGTAAACTAGCCAACACTCAGGGCCCTCTCAAGCGAGACATCTCTGGTTTCATGATAGTATTTCTAGGCAGTACGGCTGCCATCTCACGGGCAAGCTGAAGATTACAAGTAACACTCCCTCAACCAGTTTCCCAAACCGATGGATGCAGCTTCCAGTTACAAGTCCTAGTTTTACCATTCTTACAACTTCAGGCATTAGCATAAATCACAGAACTGATATTGAATTTACAACCCTACCTCACCTGTAGCAATTTTGAGATTAATCCCAAGGGAAGTTTACACACGGGCATTAATGGCATACTCTCAGAGAAAGGCAAAATTAAGATTTCTTGTCAGAAAAAGCTTGGGTTTAAGACAGATAAAACAATTTTGTAAGAAATGTAACGTTTTCTTCCTTTTGCATTTACAGTTACATCACCTGGAATAAGTAAACAGCCTTCTCTCATAAGCAAAATGGTTCCAGTGAGATGGAAAAACATGAGAGCACAACACTGTGTCCAGACATAGGGACAAAACAGCTCATCGCCAGTAAAAGGTGGAGATTCTACTCCTAGTCTTCCATTCCTGCCCCTGCTGCCAGCCCTGGTACTTCTCTCAGCCCACACAAGCCTGCTTCCACTAAAAAAAATGAAAAGTATTCCAGCAAAATAAATACATATAAATAAGAGTTTTCCCTTGCTAGAGAGTTAAATCTGTGCATCACAAACAGGTCTGATGAACAACAAAGGTGATGCAAGGAGGGGGTAGACCATACGGCTGCTGTGTTACTTTAGATCATCAGTTTCTTCATCAGATTTAATTGTATCAAGGCATCAATTTTAAACACACACTAAACACTCAGATAAGATGCATTCCCAACCCAGGAGAGATGCTGGCTAAGAAAGAACACCCTCTGCATGGGGTAGCAGCCTGATGAACAAGCTGATGACACCCAGCTCTCCTCTTGTTTCAGCAACTGTGAGTGTTATTTCTTGCTCTTCCCAGCACCCCTCCAGCAGAGACATAGGGGAAAGCAAGTGGTGTTACACAACACGACATACATATTTCACAGAGATTGGTGATCGAGGCTCCTTCAGCATTCCAGGAAGGTGTCAACACTAAATCAACAGCATACATTTCTGGCAGCATTTTTGTTTCATAACAAGCAAACATCCCTTTTTCATCCTTCTAACTGAAAATGCAACATAATTTGCACATTAATTTGATATACTACCTGACAATTTGGAGAGCGGAGATCCCAAAGTCGAATAGTTTTATCAAGGGATCCAGAAATAAAAGTATCATCCACTGGAGACATTGAAAGAGCAACCACTCTGCAACGCAGAAGACCACATGCATCAGACACACACAAAAGAAGTGAATGGAGCAACAGCTACCCCCAGCAGTTGTGTACAAGCTTGTAATTGCCATGAACAGTTCTACAAAGCAAAAACCAGAGTGAATCAAGTGTAACATAACTCAAGCTCTTTACAATCATTATTTCAACTTCTCCTGTACTGTCTCCAAGCCACATCTTACCTTTTTGTATGCCCCGGGAAATAACGAATGTATTTGTTGTCATGCAGGGAGAGGTATCGGATTGTATCTGAAAACATAAACAAACCATAAGTTTTATCATACCACGAACCCAACATTATCTAAAAGCAATCACATAGTAAACTTGCTCCCCACAGCAGCAGCAATCTTGCCACAGTGACTAAGTCTGGTCATTTGATTTCAAGTCAGACTTTGAAACAGACATTAAACAACTTGGTTTCCAAGGCAGAACTGGAAATCAGGCACTAAGAAAATATACTTCCCACAGTCTGAAGTCATATAGCATCTTAAAGGCAAACTCTCATGTGATTTATGCAAGTTAATTTCAACATTGCTAAAATTTAAGTACCAGTAGGTTTTATTCCATCATTCTCACAAAACTGAGAGCATCAAACTTACAAAGTTGACACTACCACTTTTTTTATCTATACAGCATGGATCTTGCTGCCTTACATATGTACACATCCATCAAATAAGCCTCTAACTAAACAGCAAATATAGTAAATCTTAATTCTAGCATTTAGCCAAAGAGAAGATAAAAACGTGAACTTAAAAAAACAGGACAAGACCATTAAAAAACATCAAATCTTCCTCTTTTTTTAATTTGACCATCAACAGCTTCACATATTCTCTGCACTTAGAGCAACTAAGCCTTAAGAGGACTGAGGAGTAATCTAAAGCTTAGTCCACTTAACGCAATCTTAAAAATATATTGAATAAATCAGAGCAGCACCACAAAATTTCTCAAGTGGTAATTTTATACTGAGTATCTATGAACATATCAAGAGTAGCCCAGAATTTTGAAAGATGCTGTTGAGACTTTCTCCCAAGATTAAAAGAAAACCTTGTGAGAGGAAACAATTGTTAAAGCACAGAATCAGCATTTTAATCTTTAGCCATCTGAGCAATGAAACAAAGAGCACAAGTTAAACCTCTCCTATCTAAAAGCAGCAGAAGCAAAATCCCTTCCCACACTAGTTAGAAGACACTAGTTTAAGCTGTTGCTGGATCAAGGATATGAGTATTATGCACCTGCACTGTACAGTGCCAAGAGACCCCGTATTGCTGTAACAAGTCCTGCTGAGGCTCCAAAGATAAACTGTGGGAAAAGGACATTTCTACTTTTGATCCAGAAGAAAAGAGCCAACAGGATGCAATACGCACAACGAATTTTAACACTCATAAGAGCTACTGTGTTCAGAGCTTTCTGAAAGGCTCATTCAGCAAAATTTTGTTTTTGTGAAAAAATTATCAAGTTACCATTTCTGCCTGAGGTTTCACATCAAGCTGAAACCATAGTTCTAGATCACTCTCCAGTATTTGACAAGAAAACTAAAACTGACTGACCAAGCTAGAAACACGACACTGGTAACATAACCATTCTGAAAGGCTCTAAGTGACCCAAGGTGACTATTCAAAACATACATCCCCAACACCAGTGTCACATCCCATCACGGCTAGAACTCCTATGCTTCAAGCATGCTGTTAAGACATCTGTAGCATTTCCTGCAAGAACAGTTGTTACCTGATTTCCGAAGTATCCATGCAGAATTTCATCTTCCTTTGCTAAAAAGGAAGCACTGAGAAACCGTGATCCCTTGTGATCCTTTTTGTTGGCAGTGCTCTGTCCCAGGCAAGGCAGTGGCCTGTACAGTTATCTCCTGTACCGGGTGGTATCATAGACCCTCAAACTGTACAAACTACTACCTCAGCCTGGAATCAGGCAAGAGGAACTAGGTTCAAAGGTCTCGAAGAAATCTTCAGAAGTGGATTGGTAGCAACACCACGTAAAATGCTTGGGAGCAAGTGCCAGCACTCCCATAAAATGCTCCTGGGTTAATTTTCCCTGCTGATAACTGTATAACAGGTTAAATACAATATACTTTGCCCGAGCCTGCATGCATTAGGAACTACAGAGTATCTGAACTCCTACAGAACGCACTTCTGGGTTTATTAGGCTTATGATTCATAACAGCAACAAAAACTTTCTCACTCTAACCTTTTATTTTCTTATAATCAAGTATTTATAATGCTACCCTGCAAGATGAATACCTGTAAGTTTTGGTTCCTCAAGGCTTACCTGTGCTTATGAACAAAAACTCACAACTCAATATGGCCTTAAAAATGCTTCATTAAGCTGTTAGTTGTTAATTAATTGTAAATAAAATTACAGCCAAATCAGAAACGTAACCAAGTACTAACAATAAAAAAAAAAAAGCAGGCTGTGAAACAGACTAAAACAGTAAGTGCTTCCCGTCACACTTTTAATCCTTTCACACCATTAAATCTGATTCTGTTGGAAACTTCCTTGTTCCTCTAGTTTCAGGCCCAGCTTGTTCTAGTTTAACCTGGCTTCCTAGCTCTTAACTTCCATCTGCTCTAAACTCATACTCTTAAATACCTTAAGTAACCTAGCACACACCACAAGGCACCAGTGTCTCCACTGTCAAGCTCCACCGCTGCAAAGGAAAAACCAAACCAAAACCACTATTCCAGAAGTGATTATGAATTTACAAATACAATGTTAAAACCCATTTATAAACTGCTGTGCTAAGACAGTTGGTCACTGAAAAACTGTCAGACCTCGACTACAACAAACAAAATCGAGACAAAATTTGAAATCTACACTAGCTGTTTCCAACCTTAGGAAGAATTAAAGTACCTATCTGTGCCAGTTCTTACATTTGAATTTTAAATTAAACTCAAATACATGAATAGTCAGCCTGTCACGAAGCTCTAGAAGCCCTTCGATGTCACCAGTTTAGAGAGTGTAGCTATCACAGACACCGTCTGTGGAGAAATGGCATGAAAATGGGTGTTCTATTAGATGGAAAAAACAGATTAAGAGAAGCAAAACTAATCTCAGAAGAGCTCTGTGACCTCCTCCAGGCTTGGCTGGTGATCTCCTGAGTTACCTGAACTTCCTGCCCTCCCTGCTACGTATCGGAGAACGGGAAAACATTCCCTTCTTTTGCAGCTGACTTGTATGTGTACCAGACAGAGCTACGGCGTGTAGCCCACCTTTTAGCCACATGCTCCTGCCTCATTTCATGCATAAGAAATTAAGGCACAGAGCCTGACTGACAGCACTGGCATCAAACAGCAAAGTGAACAGCAGAATCAAGAACCGAACTTTTATCACACTAACAATGTTTAATCCCTTAGTTATTGCAGCAATGAACAAAACTCACAGCAGCATGCTCAAGGGAACATCATCAAGTTGTGCAGTTGAGTTGAACATTAATTCCTCTGTCTGACAGCACATTTATCACTGAAAAAGTTACTATATGTAGTTTTAAATATAAGAAGATAAAATACGCTCAACTCCAGTGGATCACTTACCATCTATTTTGTTGGAGCTGTACACGACAGTGTTGGCAGCATGTGTGTACCTGATCAAGTCCACTCCATACTTCTTACTGTACAGAGTTCTCTTTGGTCTGTCAGAAGGAAGCAGAAATAATTGCACTCACTGCAACAAAAAGCTCAAAACGCAACTCCCCACTATAACAAAGCCTGTTTTCATTGAGATATTACAAGATTGTTTCAAGTAGTCAGATGTTTTTATACAAAGAAAGAAAAGCTTCTTTTATTTGATTTACAAACAAGCACCTTGGTGCTTTCTCCAAGACCACCCCTAGGCTTGAGAAGTTCCCTGTAACACCTGCAAAATGCACTTACTTGTCCCCTCAAAAAAATTCTTTTTACACTAGACATCATGGGAAAAAGAATATAAGGAGCTAGCATAACAAGCCCGTAATGTCAAGCAGCACTGCCTCATCACTCCCTTGCCCATCCAAATCTCTAATTCATCTGCTACTTATTTCAGATTTGAGAATAATTTGTCTTTTTGTTCTATATTATTTCAAAACATAGGACAGGGTGTCTCATTCAGAACAGGCTTTCTCGGTATTAACACAAACACAATAGTCTATAAAAGCAATGCTAACACAGGGACTCTCAAAGTACCGGAGAATTATACTCATGTTTGATCTTAATTAAAGCCTGAAACTCAAACGTAACATTTTGCAACAGATTTAGACATTCTAGTGAGAGTGAAGACAACATACAGAACTGGATTTTCAGGGGTCTGGTGAGCAAGTGATGTACTGCAGTACTAGAAATTTTAACTGCAAGGTAAACTTAGAAGTAGCTGGTTAGTAAGCGTATCTTGCAGCAGCAGCGCCTGTTTAAGCAGTGGTCTCCCCCACCCTCCTTCCCCCTTCTTCCTCAGCTGAGGTAGCACAGAGGTTTCAAAGCTGGGCAGTCAACCAACAGGTGTACCAAACAATACCAGAAATAATACAATCTCTTCCGGGAGTTATTTTTAATCCAGAAATTTGTAACTACAGTTATTACACAGGCCCACAAAATATTTTACCAACACGAACCAAAGACAACAACATGGGACTACAAACAGAAGGAGCAATTTAAACCAATAATGCTGACAAAAGAAAAGTTTATCAGACTATACCCTCAGACAAAGTATTTATAAAATGCTCAACTTTTCCCTTGTTTTCATTAGCCTCAAATTGACACACCCAAACAAGAGCATGAGTTGGAGACACTTCATATCAGAACAAAAATAGACATTCTTTCTTTAAGATTAATTCTCACACAGCAGAAGCCATAGGGCTTTGACTTCAAATGAACTTCCTGGGAACAAGCCTCCATTAACTGAAAGCCAACACAGCAAGTGTAATTAAAACCCATACACCACCTGTACTACTAAGACCAAATCTCAACAGATTGTTCTTCAGTTCCTCGTAGTAGATTTTAAAATCAATTTTCAGACACAAACATGCTACAAACTGAAAACAACACATCAAATGTAAATTTAGACACCAAAATTCTGTAACATTATGCCTGATATACTTCCCATACTGCTCTCTGCACTTACCTCAGCTATGCTGTTGACCAAATTGGAAAAAACACACAAAAAAACCCAAACAAAAAAACTTCCTGAAACCAACAAATCCCACCAACCTCAAAACATACTAAGACTCTCATGCCTAATCTGGCTCTTCCTTATCTATGAAAAGTTTAAAGCTCAGAAGCTCTATTCAGAATTAACACACACCAAAGAATATACAGAGACTAATAAAGATCAACAGATGAACAAAAGCACATTTACAAAAAAGAAGGAAAGTACTTCTGTGTTTTAAGAAAGTTGAAGTTTTCACATAAGCTGACACAAGCAGAAGTATGTCACTTCACACAAGACCAATTACCTGTTCCCAACCAGCTATTTAAAAACACAAACAATAAAACTAAGGTCTACATGGTTTTTAAAAGAAATCACAATCACTAAACATAACTATAAGTTTACGGTTAATCTATCTAGCCCACTTGCAAATCAAGCGATACTGTCAAAGGAAAGCACTGTATGAGATCAGTCAAATCTGCTATAAAGATAAAACAAAACACGGGCAAGATTTGTAATAGCATCTGCATCTTTCTTTGAATCACTACTGCTGCAGGTAAAACCATCATACAAAACCAGGCTCACTGATATGTCTAGTAAACACAATGGCTAAGCAGGAGTCCAGATCACCTCTTTGTTTGTATAAATAATACACAATTCATGTATACTACAATTAAGCTAAGCCTTTACTAGACCACCATTACATCATACCAGGCTTACAAATTTCCAGCCATGAGCCTCCTGTTCCCAGCCTCAAGGACTGCTGTACATCCCAACACACAACTCTCTTCTAAAGTTTTCAGAGTTCACTCTTAAGCCCCAACTGCCACAGGTAAGCCTCTTGGCTATGCTTTTGAGCCAGCTTACTGTGGAGGTCCTTAGAGATGCAGAATAGGTTAAAAAATAGTAGTAAGAATTTAGTTGTTTACACATTTATAAATCGAAGTGGAATCTCAGGTCCAAAATTATTGGATGCTCATGAAGGAGGTCAAATTTTTCAAGTCTGTTGCCTAAACTCAGAATATACATAAGGGAATCTGTGTTTCAAGGAGATTATCTTGTCCTGTCAGCCCCTGGCTACACATCACTGTTCAAACTGTCCTGACACTTTCAGAAACTGAAGTTCACAGAGATAGGGCTTGGTCATACTCATGACAACTCTGGTAGCTGTATGGCTTACTTTAGCATGGCAAAACAAAGCAAACCAGGTGAGGGTGTACCCAAGTATAACCAAACACAACTGCATTTGAATTTTACCAGCAGAAATGCTCATTAACGGGGGGGGGGGGGGGGTGGGGGGGGTGGGGTGGTAAATTATAGCACTTCTAAATGGTGAAAAGTTTTAACATTCAGGCCATTTGATGAAGTAGAATATCCTACACTGAAACCCAGCAAGCAGGATGTTTCCTCCTGGCTATTATACTCATTAGCAATGACATATACAAGCAGGTAAGAGTTCCCAGCCCTTGAAATAATGTTTTAAGAAAAAAAATAAACTATAGGCTTGAAACTGCCAAATTCCACCATGTCACAACAACGATCTTTCACAGATTTGATTTTTCATCTCCACATGAATCTAGTGACAAAGTAATCCACAGACAAAACTTTCCAGGTGAGAGAAAAGTGTGCCCTGCATCCCTATGTACCTCTAAAAATCACAGTTATGCTTTTAAGTCAATTGACAGTACATGAGAAACCTTCAAATTAATTTTATAACCACTAGAGAAATGCATCCTGAAACAGGGGTTACCTTGATGAAACTACTCGCACTGCCCTGCAGCACTGCAGTAGACAACCATCAATCTTTTACATTTAACTTAAAGCAAACCCTCTGACTGTAAAGGACACATCAGGACTAGATGGAGATAGGAATGAAAGGGCCAAATGCCTCCCACCCCATCAAACTATTCTTTACAAGTTTGAAAGGGGAAGAGCAATCAATACCTAAAAGCATTAACAACACTCAGCTCTTCTACTATTGTACCTAATTAGGATCTAGAGTACAATCTATGGCAGACACCATATGTATAAAATTACCTATTCTTACATAAATAAAAATTAAGTAATTTCAACCAAGCATTCACTCTATCAGATGTGGAACACCAACTTTAACATGTAAAGCAAGCAAACTAAATACAAATGTGAAATAACATATGAGCAGTCTACAAAATTAGAGAATATGCAGGATGCAATCTTGCAAACACAAGAAGTATGCTGCCTTGGTCTGCTTGAAAAAAACAGGAGGATTGTAAGTACCTGGTTTACTAGAAAATATAAGCAACACTGACACATCTATTGCCTAGTACTCCCAAGCCATTTCTTTTTCATTCCTGCATTACCATGCCCTTTTTATTCTCTCTCCTACAATACACATTCATTTTTCTTTCACTTTCTGTATGTGATGCTCTCTAGTCTTGGCTTTACAAAAAAAAATTTAGAATAACCTCATAATTACACCTCTACATCAAGAAGCACGTGAAAATTAAAACTTTAAATTTATTAAAGCAGCGAAATGCCTACTTGTACCAACTGAGAACGATTTTAATGGAATAATGACATCATTTGGCTCAGTTTGTTCCAACTCTCATAGAATACAAATGCCTTCTGCGTATGTTCCAAGACATCAACTGCAAGTGATATTGGTGGTCTTACTTGCACATTTTTTTAATCATCTGAACAAGAGCACCACTTCAAGTGCTGTGCAAATTTCTGGGGTTTTATCCATAAAACAAGAGAAGCACCATGTGATCAACGAAAAAAGAAAGATAAACTGGACAACTCTGTTCAATGAGAAACGCACATCTTAATTTGTTACCCTTAAGTAGCAGAAATCAATAAACACCTTGTTTGATTAAATATAAATTAAGACAACATTTGAAGACAACTGTGAGCCTTACCCATACTTTAACTGTGCTTTACAGATAAACACGCAATTAGAAAAAAGGATTTAAAGCACAGAGGACCACCTTTATCCACAATGTTCACAGACACCACTTAGCAACTAGGTTTTAAGGAAAACACCATCAAGTTTTTGTAAGGTATAGTAAACACACACCACACCATCTTCACCTTTTAGCTTAAAGTATTTATCTAAGAAGTTGCACTCAAATTAGGTTGCTTAAAAAGGCACATCTGTACGCTGCTCACAGTAGTTGCTTCTATTTTAATTAGTGAGACTTAAGCCCGGAGAAGCCCGAGAAGTCAGTTTGCATATCTGTAACAATCCCGAGGCCTGGAAACGTGACCAGACTCAGCCCCTTAAGCTTAACAACTATTTAGTTCTCACAGCAGTGAACTCTCTCACACTTGGGAAATTACCACCAGTGCATCCAGCCTACCAGAGAAAACAAGCAGAGACACACGTAGCGCAGACAAAACCACGCTGCTCCCACCTCTGCTCTCTACTTTAACCGTTTATAATCCACACATACACCCGTCACACATCGTTGCGGGTCCACTTAAAAGGCTCCACTAAAAAAAAAAAAAAAAAAAAAGGAAAAAAAAAAAAGCGCCAAAGCTTACCAGCCAGAACTACCACCTCCTCAGCGGAGTCGCCACCGGTGCAGAGCCGGGCTCAGCTTCTCCCCGCAACGGGCGGCAGCCAAACCGCCGTCCCCCACAGACCCCCCCCCCCCGCCCCAGAAATTCCCAAGACAAGCACCCCCCACTCACTTGCCCTCCTGGCAGTCATAGAGAACTATGGAGTCGTCGTCGCTGCTGGAGATGACGGTCTCGCCGTTGGGGCTGAAGTCGAAGCAGTTTATTTTGTCCGAGTTCTCGCGGAAGACCTTGGCCACACGGAAGCTCCGCAGCACGTTGTCCGTCAGCTTCATCCCGCCGCCGGGCCGGGCCGCGCCGAGGGCGGCAGCGACGGCGCGGAGGGGAGCCGGGCGGGGCTCCCGGCGGCGGCAGGAGCCGACGGGCCGGGCCTTCGCGGGGAGGCGGGGAGCGGCAGGGAACGGGGAGCGGCGGGGGGCCGGGGCTGGCGGCGCCCTCCGGCTCGACTCGGCCCGCTCAGGCCGCGGAGAGGCGGCTCCTCCTCATTGTGTCCGCCATCTTGCTGCTCCGGGAACGGTGGGGGGCGGTGCGCGGGGCACCCTGGGAAGGCGGGGCGGGGCGAGCACGGGCGGGGGGCGGGGCGTGCGCACGGCCCGCTGGGACGGGGGAGGCCGCAGTCCCGTGCCGGGCGGCCATATTGAGCGTGGCAAGAAGGCCTGCCCGCCCTCACCCCGGCGTGACTGCCGGCATCCTCGCCCCGCGCGGGGCCCGAGGTGGGAAGGGGCGACCCGGAGCAGGGTCGGGCTAGGCCGTCATTGCCCACCCGCCCCGCGCCCCGCGCCCCGCGGAGGGGTTTGAGGAGGGGAGGGAAGAGTGAAAGTCGGGTTGGGGGCGTGACGTCATCCCGTAGAGCGGGCAACGACTTCGCGCTGCTGGGAGGGGCGTCACTTCCGGTGCTGGGCGGGCCTGCAGCCGCCTCGTGGGACGTGAGGGGAAGCCGCGCTCGCGCCGCCGGGCCTGCGCGCTCCACGCTCACCTCCTCCCGCCCCCAACCCCCCCACCCGCCCCACCCCGGCCGGCGCTCAATGCGCCCGAGGCGGAATTTAACATATTTTTGCGTATTTTCCGCCGTAACTAGCGAGAGAGCGGCGTTGGAGGCGGTGGTGTGTCCTGCGGCGGCCGCTCGGCGGGCCCGGCCGGGGGTGAGGAGGCGGGGGGGGGGGTCCCTCCGCAGGGTCTGCTCGGGGCGGCCGTGTCCCGCAGGTATCTGCACCCGCTGAAATACACAGTGATCGCCGCCTCGTTCTTTTTTTTTTTTTTCCCCCCTCTACTTTCAGTTCAATTATTAGACACTTTAGTATCCCAGTATTTTTTATTCTTCGAAAATGCTGCAGTACTACGGCCTTACGCCGCATCAGACGTCAGATAAAGACGAGCAGCACAGACTTAACATTTAAGAAAGACGTCTTGGCTTTGGAGGCTGGGGCTCTAATACAGGCACCTCGGCACTTTTTTCTATCGTGAATCTTGGTGTCAGGCTCTGTGTTCGTGTTTTTGTACACCTCTTTAACCTTAAAGTTACTCCTGGAGTACAACGGTAGCTCTGAGAGTCTGCACACACACACGCCCCTAAAGATTTCCCGCACCCTGCTATTTTAATTTTAGAAAACCAACAGATCATTTCGGTCCCCCAGAATCAAAAGAAAAAAAAAAAACAACCCACAACATACATAAATGCCATCATAAATGTTAATTGCATTTTCCTTTCACAGTCTCCAGAATAGTTTGATTTTGCTTTGAGAATAATATTGCCCTCCTGTGGTCAAACAACAGTAAGTCCAGGAACTTGTCAAAGGTCTGCCTGCATGTCATTCAAACATGCTTAGTTATTTTATGTGAATGTACGATTTAGTGAACCAAAAGCCTCTTCTGAGATTACTTGCTCTTACAGTTTGCTTACTAGAGTTCACCATTACAGGTTTAGACATCTAACCCGATTCACCCTCTCATGCTGTGGTGGGATTGGCTCATCAGAATGATTCACTGATTTTTACTCTGAAACAGAAGATTTTCACACAGCAGTCTCAAGAGACTCAACAAAAGATACCTTCATTACTTCTGAGGCGCTCAGGGTCAGCTACCCCATTGCAGGTCAGTTCAAAATCTACGATTGATTTTTGTGTGATGAGAGATTTTAGAGAAGCGCAGAACAACATGCCTCTTACACGCGGTAAATTATATGATCAAAACCTGGATTATCTCATGTGGGCCCTGAAGGTGACTCACCAATACCATCCTAAGACAATTTACTTCAAAACAGCTACAGCACTTAGCTAAGTTTTGTAGTTGTGTAACACTGTGGGTTGTTGATTTGTTATTTTGTCACTCCCTTTTTATTCTTTCTTCTGCCTTTCTTCCTAGTCGTTGGAACTTAGTTTGTCAGTTTATACCAAGCTGGAATTTATCTGGCAGGATAATTGGATCTCCTAGTAAAATGTCACATTAAGTAGGAATTATGGATAATGCCCCTGCAAAACTAGTTAATGGAAAAAATGTTTAATTGTTGCTTGAGTAATATTGATCATATGCAGTCATTCTACTCATGCATTTCCATATTAGATACTACCGTAGTCTGCACAAGACTGACCTGTGCTTGCTCAGTTTGGGTGGACGTGAATTCCAGAGAGATGCTTCTGGAAACAGCACTGCTCAGGTGGATATATTTCTTTTGGACTCTGCTGGAGTGATGATTCTCTGTGGGTAACAGTTATGACTGGAGGCTTGTGTGGAGAGCTTTTATCCTACAACTTCTCATCTCTTTATCTGATCATCTCATCTCTTGAATCTAAGCATGATGCTCTGGAGCATCGAACCCTGTCCTTGCTGTTACAACATGAAATCCCAGAAGTATGGGGAGAAGGGACCTCTGGAGCTGCCAGCTCCACCCTCCTGCTCAGTGCAGGACCAGCACAAGATCAGCTTGGCCACAGCTTTGTCTAGCCCAATCCTGAAAACCACCTAGCATGGAGACCACAGCTTCTCTGAGTGGCCTGATCCAGTGCTGTGCGACCCTCTCTATAAAGAACTTTTTGCTAATGTCTAGCGTGAACATCCTGACTTGCAAATTGTGGCCATTGCTCCTTATACTTTCTGCCACTACCAAGAAGGGTTCATCTCCACTGTCTTTATAACCACCCTTCAAGCAGTTGTAACTGCTATTAGGTTTCTCGCTAGCTGGTTGCACCACTTGGTTCCTAGCCCACTCTGATGCACAGGGATCCTGCCCCAGCAGCAAAACTTCATACTTCTCCTTGCTGAGCATCATGAGGTTTCTGTTGGCCCTGACCTTGAGTTTATCACAGTTCTTCCTCCAGCACTTTCCCCCAATTAGGTGCTCTGCACTGCCTTCCAGGTCACTAAAGAAGCTCTAGGGTGACGTGAACCCCAATAGAGTCCCTGTTGATTACTAGCTGTCAACTGGACCCTGAGCCACTGATGTCTACCCTCTGAGCCCAGTGGTCAAGTTGTTTTTCAGCAAGTCTAACAGTGTGATTTCCCAGCCCACACTCCTTCAGCATGCTCACAAGAATGATGTCAAAAACCTCACTAAAGTCAATGTAGATTACATCTGCTGCTTTCAGCTTTCCCCATAGCCTCTTGTCTCAGCCTAGAGGGCAGCCATAATTGTCATCCCGTGACTGACTAATATTCTTGGCTCTTTTTCCTCTTATGTTATTTCCAACTGAGGAGCTCAGAATTTTTTGCTATTAATCCCAAAGAGCATGACCTTGTATTTTGCAGTACTGAATTTTGACTCCTTTCTATTATTCCAGTCCTCAAGGCTGGAAACTTTTCAATTTCTGAAGAATACTGTGATCCTTCCCTGTATTTTAAATGACTCTCAACTTTGATTGCAAGTTGACTCAGAATAGGAAGTTTGAGAAATTACAGCATGAAAGAAAGTAAACTTGGCATGGACTTGGCTTCGGGGTAGTACTGTTCTGCATTGAGGTACAGAAGGATTTTTTAGTGAAAAATTTTTCTTCCCTTAAATCCCCAGTGCATGGGAAAATCATTTCCAAAAGGTATATAGGGAGTGAAGGGAGTGTGACCTAGAAAAACTAGTAAGATGCATATGTCAAATCCAGTTAAGTTTTTTACTAATGATTCTGATCTATATATATAAAATGCTGAACAGAACACTTATCATCCCTGTGTTTGGCCGTAGGCTACATTCCCCATCAAAGGCAAAGAGACCCTGTTGACGCTTTCCTGGTGAGTAAATCAGTCATGAGAGCAACATTTTTCTTCTCCAAGAAACATATAGAAAGCCATGTATTGGAAATTAGGACTCCTGGGTTTCCAAGAGTTCAGCATATTCTCGAAACAAAGGTATTCAGACTCCATCCTACTTTCTCCCTTGCCTGCCTGGCAAACCCTCTGTGCAGCTTTCTGGTCTCAAGGTACTGCTTTTGTCCACCATCATCCTCTTTCTCAGTTATGGATGCAGGAGCACCACAGTCAGCACATCCCTGCACACCCACTTGTGTACGGGACCCTTCATAGCCAACCGTTGATGATTTGGTCCATCCTAGCTGCAGACATTTTCTCTTTTACAAAATGTGAACGAGGTAGTGCAGTAATTTTATGCAAATCCATGTGCAGATTAAAAAATTAATCAAATTCTGAAATTTTCATTTAAAGAGATTAGTCTTGAAAAATCCCCCATCTAATTGTCCCAGAATAGTCACTTGGAACAAACCTTCATCGCTTTGTTTTCCTCCTGGGTTCAGTGCATCTCCTGGAAAATTTTCTTGTAATGCACTTGGGACCATCTGAAGCATCAAGTTTGAGGTTGAGCAGGGCTCACCAGGCGAATTAAAGTTGATATATCAAATGATAGAAAAGATGTGTCAGTAAGTGGGAACATGGGAGTTAAAGGCAGTAAAATCTCTGCGCTGTTGTACTTCATAGGTAAACTCCCATGGTAATGCATGAAAAATGGAAGCAGTAAGCCTCAGTGAGTCTAACGGTAATTTACATACCAAGAGGCCAGAAGAAAGTCATGTAGCAAGAAAAACGAGTAGCAAGAGGCACTGCTAAAACTTGCCGTGTCTGGCAGTTTACTGCTGTAACAAAGATGTAATCTGTCTTTTAGAGCTTGAGCTCAAAATTGTCCTCGAACAATCGAGGTTTGATCCAATGCCATCTCAGGTTTTTTGCAAGCCCCTCAGGGATTTTGGAGCTGACCCTGTACAGGGGCCAGCCACCAGTCACTGCCACGCTGGCAGCAATCCAGAGAAGTCCTGGTGACATTAAAAATGAACTAACTTGGGCCTGTGTAGTTCTCAGTTAAATTAGCTGTTCCGGAGCATTAATATACAGTATCCTCCGATCTTGCAGCACCTGAAATGCTCGGGATGTGTGATTGGGTAGGCCTGTAACGAGCCCAATTGCCCCAACTTCAAGAAAACCACAAGCCCATGATGCAAACCTGTGAACAAACCTCCAACCGCAGCACCTGGAATAGCTCAGCTCTGCCCAGCAATGGCAGACTGGCTCCTAGAAGGGAATATTTTTCTGTCTTTCAAGTACCTGCCATGGATGGGCACGGCTGGCTCATTTGTTCACTGTTTTCCTCCCCAGTGTGACTCCAAGTTTATGGCTCACACTATGGCCCCCTATGTCCACGCTTTTGGTCTCATGCCACCATCCAATTTACCTGGCAGCTTACCACATTTCTGCCCCTAGTGCTGGATTGTTTCTGTCTCCCTCTGACTTTGGCTCCTTTCCTGCAGAATTGCTTTAATTAAAAAGTTAATGGAAGATAATGCAAATGAGCACTTTGCCTGTATTTTATCACAGTCCAGCTCCTCTCCCTCCCTTTTTCCCAGAGAAGGTGAAAATGAGGAGCTGGGTTTTTGCTGCTTTTTGTTGTGGGAGTTAACAATGGAAATTTCTGCAGACTTAAGGGGAGCCCTATGAAGAAAGAGCTTATAATGGTAATGCACGCAAACAAGTATGTAGATGATGAACATTATTCATCAATGAAAGCTGAGGAAGTTTTAATTTAAAGGGGATTAATCTAAACCACTTACAGTATTCCTGCTCTCTTTGAAACAGGCAATTCTTAGTATTGTTTTCCTCCAAAGCTTAGTGCAAACTTCTAGAAAACTTTTAGAAAGACTATCTATACCCCAACTCCAAATTATCCTGAGCAGGGACAAAGGGAAGGCACAAAACCCGAGCCCCGCTAGTGCCTACAGCATGTCAGCTTATATCCATATAGAAGAGGGCTCATTCATCCCTATGTGATTTCCCTGAGAAACTAGGGAACAAAGGTTAGTGCGTGAAGCAATATGAGTCACAACATCAGCCCCTTCTCCCAGCCCAGACTCTTCCCAGCCAGCAGTGGAAAGAGGAAAAGGGAAGGATGTGAGTATGTCATTTCCCCACGTGCAATACACAGCAGTTAACTGGCAGTTCCATCATTTGTAGACCCACCATCCGTGGAGATAGTCTGTGAGCTGCCATTTGGATTATTTTTCTTTTCAAGGCTGCCTATGCCTTGGTGTGGGGTGACGTTCAGTTCCCTTGATCTTATTTTTAAAGCCTGGGTAAAACGAGTAGGAGTTTTATTATTTGTTAATATCTACAGTGGATTTATAGCTGTTCCCTGGTGACATTTAGTTCCCAATGCCTGAGACTGTATAAATAAATTACATAAAAATGGATTTGTGGCATCATTAGCAACAGCCCCATTCCAAGGGGAGCCTCCAGTGAGCCTGCGTGTCTAATCAAAGCTGACAAGGAGCAGAGTTACACACAGAGACCTCCAAAGCTAATGGGTCTGTGCCAAATTCAGCTCTCTGGTGTGTTGGTGTAAGGTTGGATAACCTCTGACGGCAAGGGGATTTTACACCGGACTTACTCTGCGTTTGCACCTGTGCACTGAGATCAGTGTCAGGCAGCGTGCCCTAAAATCCTTAGAAGCAATGGAAAGACACGTGCTGACTTAACAGACCCTGGATCAGGCCTCGATGGTTAAAGTATAATCTGAGTTCAGAGTGCAGAAAACAGATTACATGCCTGCTATTGTAGTGAAATGCTTTCCAGAGCAAGCATTAGCAGTATGTACACAAGTGCCAGATGAATTAAGCTGGCATTTATTTTTTTCAGCTCCAGTAGGAGAGGATTGCTTTTAAACAACTCGCGCCTGCTGTGTCGTGTCTGGAGTCAGAGCTGAACGGAGCTGATGGGAGGGCACGTGTGACAGGAGCCGCAGTTGCAGGTCTGGTTGTGCTCAATTCCCCTGGTCTTCAGGGTCAGCCGTGCACAGAAACATCAAGGCAGAGACAGAACCTGTTAAAAGCTTTGGGGCTTTTTTTTTTCTTAAACTCCCCTGGTTTCATTTAAGCCTTTTTCTCTGACCACTTCTGCAAACCCTGTATGGCAGCTCAGACAAGGCGACCTGGGGCGTGATGCACCTCTGTTTTGTAACACCTGCCTCTGATTGTGCTGTGCTGCCAGGTGAATCAGAGTCCTGCTGGGAACCGAGATGCTAATCTCAGTTCCTGAGAGGTGTAAAGCTGACTTCACCGGTGTTAGCACGGTTGCTCTGGCCCTCATTGTAAGAGGGCTGAGGCTCAGTGGTTTGAACTGCTGGCAGCATCAGCTGCCGTGAAGTTTAAAGAGACTAGTAACAAAGTGGTCAGGTCACCCTATCTTTTATTCTTATCTCTCCTTGTGACTGAAAAGCCAGTCCTTCTGGCTGATATCCAAAGTATAGATAGGTAGTTTATCTGCCTTGGGTTTTGCCTTTAAAATCTGATTCTCATAAGCGTTGAATGATTTAGTTAGATTTGATGATCTTAAAGGTCTTTTCCAACTTAAATGCTTCTTGGATTTTTTTCTCTGGCAAACCTATGATTCTCCATATAGTTTTACCTGCAATTCCCTTGTCCAATAGATTTCAGAGTATACCCATTTCATTGCCTGAGAAGGTGTCTGTGTTCAGGTTTTCACTGAGTGTTTGGGTCCTTGCAGCAAAATAAGGGAGATTTAGACCAGTGGAGCTGTTGGAAAGCTTGTCTGGCTTAATGATTAACACCTTGCAATGCTATGGGTGTGTTAGGACAAAGAGACCTCTGGACTCGTAAGCCCTCCCCGAAGCAGGCAGCCACTGGCCTTGCACTGAAACACATCCATTTACTAGAGAGAGGAATAACTCTCTCAGGTAATTTGAATGGGTCTGTGATGGAGTGTGTGGCCCTCCTGGCACCTTTAATTGCCTGCACCATAGTTGCCATGTGCCGGAGAAATGCAGATCACAAGGATCTTTGATCCTGAGAAACCAGCAGTGAACTTGTTGCCAGTTAACAGAAGGAAGAAGAAACGCTGGGAGGAAATAGATGTATGGGTGCTGGCAGGGGCTGCCTTTCTTCTGTCAAGGCAAGTGTCTGCCCTTGAGCAGTTGAGATCTTTCGGTCCACACACAGATCTGTTGCATATAATGCTAATACTCAGCAGAAACTAGCTGAAATAGGCTCTCACAGACATGGCTGGCAACCTTGCTTGATCTGAAGTGTTATTTGGCCTCTAAATGTGATTTTAATGAATAATGAGAGGACTGAAAAATAAAGGTGAATGAAGCCTCATGTTAATTTGCTGTTTGGTGGGGAAACCTCATTACTGGTTTCTCTGTGGCCACCAGCAGCAAGGGATCAGGCAGCCAGCAAGCCTGTTGTTTCTCCTAAGTCCATGCCTGATGCTGCAGGGACACATGGGGCAATGCACAGCCAGAGAATGAGATCAGCATTTGGCTAGCATGAGGAAGGGAGTTAATGTAGTGAAAAGCTGTTCCACCCAGACACCGTGCTATCTCCAGGATAGAGGGAAGCTTCCACAGTTTGGAAAGGTGTCAAACACTGAGCAAATAGAAATGATGGCTTGCCAGTGGCAAATCTACAGTGATGGAGAAGCTGGCTGTCAGGGCTCACCCTCCCTGTGGGAGGTGATGGGAATGCAGGGGGACCACAAGCTGACAGGTAGTTTGAATGTGACACTGTCCTCCTCTCCCTCCTGCCTGGGGAGAGGTTTGAAAATGCTGTTGATATGGCACCTTAATCTAGAGGAAACAGGAGCTAGAGCTCCATGATTCACGTTTTGCCCTCCCTGCTCTCTCTGAGACAGCCCTGTCTCTTCTGCTAGTGAAAATGTTCTCTTTCCCTTGCAGGTTGGAGAGTGCTGGCTGCTCCAGCTCTCGTGGCCTGGCCTGTGTGGGCAGAGCGTGCCCAAGCCCACCCCACGGAGCAGGTTGGCTCAGCCTGGCCGCCCTGCGCAGCATGTCCCTCTGCGAGCACGTACTGTCCCTCTTCCGCGGAGCAGTGGGCACTGTCCGGCCGGCTCCGATGCTGAGGAGAGCTGTGAAGCTCCAGGGAGATGGGTGCCCTCAGCTGCTGGTGAAGGGCCGGACCTTTCCAGTGAAGAGGGACCTGTACCTGGTGGGTTTTGGCAAAGCTGTGCTGGGGATGGCCGCGGCAGCAGAGGAGATCCTGGGAGACCACCTCGTTCGGGGGATCATCAGTGTGCCGCTAGGCATCCAGGAGAGCCTGCAGAGAGCAGGAATGCAGTAAGGGGGAATGCAGTCTAGACAGTTTGGGGGGGGTAGGCTGCCAGATTTATCCTCTGTGGGATGTTGCTGTGAAGCCCTTCAATCCTTTCCAGCTGCCCTTGCCCTGGTGCCCACCCGGTCTACCACACCACCCTGGTTTTCAACCTCCATCGTGTCCCAGTGGCACCAGTGACACAGCCCATCTCTTGCACTGGATGCATTGCCTCCCCAGCCCTGGGGAAGAGGCACTCAGCAAAGGCCACCTCCCTGTCCTCGTCACTCGCCGTGCACCTCTGGTGCACCAGGCCTGTTTCCCTGCTGAGTGACAGCCTGGCTGCCTGTGTAGGTGCACGTCAGTGGTGTGATTGCCCCTCTTACCTCACCAGGGAGATGCTTCTGAAGCCACACAGCAAAATCCAGGTCATTGAAGGTGCCAAGAACAACCTCCCAGACCAAGAGGCTCTGAAGGGAGCAGTTGCCATCCAGGAGCTGGTTGAGGGCCTGACTGCTGACGACCTGCTCCTTGTGCTCATCTCAGGTAGCATGGGGATCCCAGGGAATGGGCTCTGCTGATGGCTCTCCAGCTGCCTGCCCACACGTGGCTGCGCAGCCGGGGAGCGCTGTCTTGTGCCGGCCCTGTCAGCACTGATACTTGCACCTCTGTGATTTTTCCTCTCCCTTCTCCTACCAGCATTTCTCTAGGGATGCAGCAGGGGAGGGCATGGGGCTGCCTGCTGCTGCAGTGGACGCACTGCCTCCCAGCACTGGGGAGAGGCTGAGGGGCGCAGGCTGGGTGCTGTGGTTGTGCCACCGTTGTGAGATGGCACCTCTGGGCACAGCCTGCCAGCTGCTCTCACTCCTTGGCAAGGAGACACTTTCTTCCTGCTCCCTCCTTACATTTGGGGCCTCAGTCTTGGAGAGGCAAGCATTTGGTGGACTTGCACGCTCCGAATCTCTGCAGGGGTGTGAGTCTCTAAAATGAGATTTGGGACTGACTCTTCCCAGGGCTTTGTTGCTTCCTGGCCAGTGGAAATGAGGCCCCCAGGTTCCAACACAGTGAGCTGCACGCCTTGCAGGCTCAGCCCTGCACACATGCAGGCTGCTGGGCCCCCGGGGCTATCCCCGGACCCAGGACTGTGTAAGGAAGGTGGATATTGTGCATGAGAGGGATGCAGTGACGTTGCCCCAGCCTAGAGTTTGGCTGGGTGAGTGGGTGTCACAGGGCAAAAGCATGCAAGGGCTTGGAGCAGCTCTGTAGAAACCCCTTGGTCTCCTCTGCTCAGTGATTGTTCCTCTGTAGATGCTGGAGCCTGATCTGATACAGAATAAATAGTGCCGTTAGGCAAACACCCAAGCGGCTGGCATCAAGCTGCACTTGCTGGGGATTCCCTTGGGTTTCCTCCTGTCCTTTGGCTACGAGGATCTCAAAGAGACTCCCCAGCCCTTCAGGGAGCCTGTACAGGATCTCCCCGTGGCTGTGACTCCCTGTGCATGTGCACGCCCACACAGCAGCCGGTCCCCAACTGCTCCTGCCTCTCAGCTAGATCCCTGGCTATTGATTGAAACACAGGCATTTGCATTTGTTTTTCTTGCTCATCATGTTTTATTGATGCTGATTTGTCTCAAATCTCTGAGCAGGCTTTGCCTTTTGACAGTAGCTTTCAGCTGTACTTCTGTGCATGTTCACACTTTGCTCAGATCTTGCTCCTTTCTGCTCTGCATTTTCCATCCATTTTACTTTTCCATTAGAACCTTTCTTCTTTGCCTTCTTTTCTGCATTTTCAATGCCTGCTTGTATCAGACAGGATTCCCATCAATGAGGCTATCACCCTGGACTCTGGGTGTGCTTTATTCTTTGTGTTACTCTCTCCCCTTTTCCTTTCCTCCCAGGCCTAGATAAATGCAGTTCAGCAGTTTCCAGTCTTGCTGCAGCCATAGCTGGTGTTTTTACACACTGTCCTGAATAAATGGAGACAGAAAAGCAGGCAATGTCTTTATCTGCTTAGCTCTGACTGCCGTGTGAGTTATGGAGGCCGTGCTCCCTGCTTACCCATCCAGGTAGCCCTTGAAAACCAGCGTGACGACACACTAGTAGCCTGATGTAGTGGGGGCAGTAATTGCTGGCCCTTCTCTTTCATCCCTGCAACACTGCAGGCATGCAGTACCCTGGTCCGGCAAGGTTCACACTGCCCAGGTGAAGTGTAGCTGATTGCAGGCAGTGCGGGACTGCAGTGATTAAAACCCAGTGGTGAAGAAGACTGGATTCTCCAGAGCTGTTAGCATAGTTCCCCAATCGCCTCTGCCTTCCTTCCACGCACTGACGATGGAAGAGGAAAGGCATTGAACTTGCTTTCCTTCTGTCCTCCTTTTCCTGCTATCCTTGCCGTCTCTTTTGCATCCTAGGGGGTGGATCAGCCCTACTGCCTGCTCCCATCCCTCCCATCCTGCTTGAAGAGAAGGAGAAACTCACAAAGATGCTGGCTGCCCGAGGAGCTGCCATCCAGGAGCTGAACATTGTCCGGAAGACTCTGTCCTTGCTGAAGGGTGGAGGGCTGGCCCGGCTCGCGTATCCCGCACAGGTAACCGAGGGGAAAGCCCTGCTTGCCCAGCGATCACCCATCTGCCCTCGAAATAGGAGTTTAGTCAACCGACCTAAGCATGCCTGCAGGGTTTTTCTCCTTACTGAATGAACAACCTTTGCACACTGTTTTGGGACTCTGTGGCTCAGATTTCACTGAAGACCCAAACTCTCAGTGAGGCAGAGGTGGAAGAGGGGGAATTTGGACTTAGCAAATATCATCTGTCCCATCACACCACTCTCAGCAGACCCCAGCCCTCACCCAGCAGGCACTCCCAACGTGCTGGTGCTCTGCCACGGTGCTTTCAAGGCTGGGTCTGATCCTTGGCTCCCCTGAGGGCTGTTCTCAGCATGTGCCACCGCTGAACCCACACGAGTTTACTAGCCTGACAAACGCAGCAGCATGGGTTACACCTTCCAGTGTGATTGTCTGATGTCAAAGGACAGTGTAGATATGTGGGTTTGAGAAGGGCAAGGTGACACTCACAGGACTGTAAAAAAAAAAAATGGGCCAAGATCTGCCCCTGTTTCCATCTGCTTTGGCATGGGGGTGACACAAGTGTAACTCAGAGCAGCGCTGGTGCCAGGGCTGTTGCATGGTCACCTGTCTCTGCCTCCTGCAATAATCTGTGGGCGTTTCTTTTTGTAGGTGGTGAGCCTCATCCTTTCTGATGTGATTGGTGATCCCTTGGACATCATAGCGAGTGGGCCCACCGCTGCCAGCTCCCACAGCGCCCAAGACTGCCTTCAGATACTCACCAAATACAACCTGCTGCACCACCTGCCCAAGTCAGTGGAAATGGTCCTGTCCAGCTCTTCCACAGAGCCCGCTGCTCCGGAAGACTACTCCAACGTTTGCAACATCATCATCGGGTCAAATACGCTGGCTTTAGACGAGGCCAAACGCCAGGCCGAGGGCCTGGGCTACACAACTCTGATTCTGAGCACAGCAATCTGCGGGGAAGTCGGCCGCGTCGCGATGCTGTACTGCCAGCTGATCTGGCTGGTCTGCCTGAGCTTCGCTGGCCTCGGAGAAGGGCCCCCGGGTGAGGAAGCGAGGGGGAATCTCCTGCAGCTGGCAGCAGAGCTAGAGATCCCGGGTTTGAACATTGCGGAGTTTCTACAGACCCTGCGAGGATTAAGGCCTGAAAGACCGGTCTGCATCCTGGCCGGTGGAGAAACCACCGTTCAGCTTCAGGGAACCGGCAAGGGAGGGAGGAACCAGGAGCTGGCCCTGCGCGTGGGGCTGGGCCTGCACAGGGCACAGGCTACGAAAGACAGCAGCCCCCCAGGGAGGTGTGACATCGTCTTCCTCAGCGGGGGAACAGACGGGCAGGATGGGCCGACGGAGGCGGCGGGGGCCTTCTGCAGCCCGGAGCTGGTGGCTGAGGCACTGCAGGAGGGCCTCGATGTGGAGGCCTTTCTCAGCAACAACGACTCCTACACGTTCTTCAGCCGGTTCCAGGGTGGGCGTCACCTCCTGGTGACAGGCTTGACGGGCACCAATGTCATGGACATCCAAGCCGTTTTAATTAGAGCCGCAGAGAGATCATGAGAGCTCCCCTCTGCAGATATCCAGATGCATTTAATTAGAACCAGGGATAAATGAAGGCATCAACACTGCAGACAAATGTAAACTACATAAATTAGGACTTGCTGTCAAGGATGCTAATATCTTTGACAGAAAGAATCCACGAATTAGACACATGAGTGAATTTCCACAGCAAAAGCAAGCACTTATAATTGGGATCAGAAGAAGGTATGAGGTCACATTACAGACACGGAGGCTGGATTTAACACTTCTCCTGAGAGCTGCCACTCTTGCGACTGCCTCAACTATAGTTAAAAGATGTGGGGAAATGGAGGAGCAGCCCAGCAGTGGGATTTTACACGTTCACAGAAGTGCATTACAGTGACTGAAGGATGTAAAAGCAGTAGCAAGGCCTGCCAGGCTGCAGGCAGGGAGGTGCTGGGGGAACGTGCTGAGAAGGGGACACCCAGTGCCCGCTCCACGTGCCAGCGCAGTGCCCTGCAGCTCCTCCCACAGCAGAGGCTACACAGAGACCCCCAGCCCAGCAGGATGCACGCCCAGCAGCGCGGCTGAGGAGCACGTTGGCCGAGAGAAGCATTTGATAGTGGACGCGTGACACAAAAGCCGTGCACAGTGCCACAGAGGGTGGTATCCCTTCACTGTGCAGCGTAAGGAAGGGGACGATTGAGGTGCAGTGGGAAGCCAGCTGAGTGGAGTCGTCCTCCTCCTCCAGCCTCCTGCCCTCCGCAGGGACATCTTCCCTGCTGATGCCTGTCAGGAGAGCCTCCTCCGTGCCAGCAGCGTGTACGCGATGAGCTTTCACAGTGTTGTTTTCCAGCTGCCTAGAAAACAGTCGTGCATCCAGCCCGAGCCACTGACCTTTCTTCTGCGCCGAGGCAGAAGTCGCTGTCACTCTGATTAACTCTGCTAATTCCACAGAACAAAAGGCAAGGAAACCTTCATGCTCAGCTCTCCTGACCCATGCTGCTGAGCTGATCAAAGGGCAAAGCTGCCGGAGCCGTGCTTTGACAGGGAGCCGCTCCCCCGCATGTATAAGGACACGGCGGTTATTGCGGTTTCGTCACCTACTGCAGTGCAATATGTAGGAGAGCAGAGATGAGCTGGGTTTCCCAGGACGTGGAGCCCATGGTGGGGCTGGAATTCAGAAGGGCTCTGCCTGTAGCAACAGGCATGGTGATGCTTTTGGCTGGATATTCAAAGGACTTCAGCTCAGCAGCCAGTATGACCCAACACGTCCGAGTCCTTTTGAGGATCTGCCTGTTTGTTACACAGCCTAAGTGGGAGCTGAGCTCCTTTGAAAATCCAGCCCTAATTTAATAGGACACACTTGACTCAGACTCTTTCCAGACAGACAGACCTACTCTGTGTGGCTGATCTCATCTCGTGACATAAATACACCTTCCTGCCAACAGTGAGTCGTGGTGTCTCACTGAACAGTCGTTCTGCGCCCTGCTCCAGGATAGATCAGAGGGTGGATTTTTGAGGAGGATGCGACACCTCCTGCTTTGCTTTTGAAGCCAATATCTAACAAGTAGGGATATCAGCAGGACCATCACGGGGCCCGGTATCGATGCCAGACTGGCAGCTGGACTATCTGGGCCACAGCCCAGGCCTAGTGTCAAGGCACAAGCCTGGGGATTTCAAAATCCCGGTTTTACCCCGGTGGTTTAAACTCATCCACGCATCTCATTTGTCCTCTGAGGCTGAAGGTCTTCTGTAACATGCCTGAACTTGCTCACGCTGGTAAACAGCTTTGAGATCTGCTGGGGAAAACCTGCCAAGTGTTCTAAAGCTCGCTGTGCCCCCGTAATGTCAGGTGGCGGTTGTGCAGGAGAAGGTGCTTTGTGCTGTGTGTTTTTCTCCGGAGGTCGCTGGCAGGTCGCCTCCTCCATGCCCGGCATGCCAGCACCACAGGGGCACTAACACGCGCGGCGATACAGCCAAAAAGTACCGGCTGCGGCCAGGATGACTGACTGAAGCTGGCTCCAAAATGTTGTTAACACTTCCTGTCCAATTCCGCTCCAGTGAAATCCAGAGTGACACTGGTTTCGGGCGGGGGTGCCTAGCAGAAGGGTCACTGGCATCTTCAGCAGCGGGTCTGGCGTGCCAGCCTGGGCACCCTGTCGCAGGCCGCCGTTCCCTCGCGCTCCGCCCGCAGCCCGGCCACCCTGGTCCCCGGAGCCGCTGCTGGCGCGGCGTCGCAGTCACGTTCAGAAGACCTTGGGCCAGTGCTCGCTGGCTTCTCCTGGGAAATGCCTACCGCACGCACCCCGGGCAGCGTCCTTGCTTTCTAAACAGTGGCTTTTCAGTAATGATTAAAAAGAGTTTGTGTTGGGGAGGAGAGGAGGCTAATAAAAGGTTTGTTGAAAGGATGGAGCTGTTTGAAGCGAGCTTCACATCTACGTGTGCTTGGCCTTCCTGTACTGTTTTTGTTCTTGTCCCTTCATTTCTAATGAGGTAACAGGACAGGGGAAGGTTGACCAAGGACACCCAGGTTACAGAAACACTTTTCCTCTTCTGATGCTTCTACGTGGATAGATCGAAGCTCCATTTCTGAGGGATCACTTGGGTGGACCTTGTGCATCTTCTGCCTAGGGAGGAAAGGAGCTTTGGAGTGTGTGCACCCCTAACAAACAAGGCATCATTTTATTCCTCTGGACAATGCTCAGCATGGAATTGCCTGTTACTGCTCCAGCCCAAAGCCAATTCCCTCTGACCTGCAGTCCCTTCGCTGACAGCAAAAGACCCCACGCATGAGCCAGCATGCATTTGGGCCACACAGGTGGGGTTTTGCAAGGATTTGTAAGGGGTAACAGTTGCATCTACAGACACAACAGCATCCCTTACCTGCCAAGTAACGATTTGCTTCTGGGTTGTCGGAGCCTGCCAGGAGCAATGACTTTCCCCTCAGGAACTTGAGTGAGTCACCACAGCTGAGCAGGGCTTTGCAGCTTACCCGCACTGTCCTGGATGGGTAATTGGCATCACATGAGTGTACCCGGGCAAAGGAAGAAACCCAGAGTGTGACTGTGGTCACACCAAGTGATCCCAGTCTGCAGGCCATGCTGGGACCAGCTCCGTGCCATCCTGGCTCCGGGGTGCTTGTGCCTAAGGAGACAAGGCGCAGAAAGAGCAAGGACAGTAAGAGCTGCTTGGTTTTAATGCTCCCAGTCCCTTCTCTTTTTATTGGAAAAGCAAAACTCTCTGCACCAGCCAGCCTCCAGGAAAGAGGGAGATGGGTGGAGATGGCCAACAGCTCCCTGTCCACGTCCCCGTACACGGGCAGGGGACACGGGCAGCCGTCGGGGAAAAGCACGCCCAGCCACTGGGCAGGGAGGGGACGAGCAAAGCCCGGGTGCATTCAGGGTTGGTTTGCTCTCCTAAGCTTGCTGCTCGTAGCCAAACAGTGCTAATGGCCAGGAGAAGTAACTGCGTTATTAACAGCACGAGCTTTTGGCAGTAAATTAAAAATCTTGGCTGCCGCTCTTGGCTCTGCTCTTGCCTCTTAGGAGACATTAATATCACAGCTCCCCAGCATTCCCATTATCACTTCATTAAGGATCCAATAATGATAAATGTGGATGGTTTTATTTTGCACGGAGCCTGATTAATGGCTAATATTTCACTAGGTGTTAATGGGGCCCTTCCTTTATGGAGGGATTGGAAGGGGGCTGCCTTTCATCTCCTCCACAAGCCGGGTAATTTTCACTATTTTCGCTAATGTGACAGATTTAACGCAAACCTTGAAAGAGCGGCTGAGGCCTCTTGAGAAACTTTGAAGAGCATCGTGCTTGGGGCAGCCCTTGTTGCCGCGGCTGTTCCCCAGCTCCTTTCTCCTCTTCTTCCTCCTCCTCTTCCTCCCCAGTCCTGCCGGCAGCGCCTCCTTCCAGTGCCTGCACCCAGATGCTGCAGGAGGCTGTCGGCCATCTCCTGGGATAGTGGAGGGCGAAAGCCAAGCAGGGCTCTCCCCAGGGACGAGCCCACCAGCGCAGCTGCCAGGGCTCTCCACAGCAAATGCGGTGCAGAATCAGGGCTGCCCTTGCAAGGGGGTGCAGTGCAAGGCATGGGCTTCTGCTGGCCTCACCCCAAAGCAGCTCGGCACCCCTCACCTGCCCCCCGAGAAGGCTGGGGAGCCCAGGATGCAGGACAGAGCCCAGGCTATAGCTCTGGTGGCTCCTCCGAGGCCGGCTCCTGTGGCACAGAGGCTGTTGTCCGCTGCAGGACCCCGGCGTATTGCACGGCTTCAATCCCTATATGAAGTGGGATGTATAATCACATAGGAATAAAAAGCCATACAAGACAGCAGGTCGCGAGTTGCTCCATGGTGGCAGGGCTGCCACGGCTCCCGATGGGATGGGGCTGAGCCCTGGGGAGCCCCCCCCAGCCCCTCTGTGGGGCCTGTGGGGAGACAGAGGAACCCTGCATCAGAGAAGAGAGGCGATGTTTCAGCCAGGAGAAAGCATGGGAGGCCCCAGAGCTGCTGGAGAGGGAGCCCCGTGGGGTATCGGCACTTGCTCCCAGCTCTCCCAGCTAACGGGGGCCTCCCACCCCAGCCCCCCCCCCCCCCCCCCCCCCCCATGGAGCCGAGACAAGATTTGCCCTGTGGTACACTCAGACCTCCCCTCTGCTCATCCCCATCCCAGCACATAACCCTCCAGCCTGGGCACTCTCTGCTTGCGCTACCGGCATCCCCAGGGCTTTATCAGCCCCACCAAGGCAATGGGTACTGCAGCCCTCCAGCACCAGCACAAACACCCGGTGGAGGGAGAAAAAGGAGCCAGCCCCCTCCCCGCAGCGGTGGGAGCATCCTCTGCCGTCAGACCGAGGAGAGGAGAGCCCAGCGGTTGGAGGGAGCGGTTGCAGGGAGCCGTCAGTGCCCGGCTGTCAGAGCACAAATCCCCTAGCAGCCCATTAGGAGCAGCTCCCGGCTGCCTGCAGGAGCTCTTGACAGGGGGCCAGGCACCAGCACGGGTCCCCTGCTAAGCTGGACGTGGGTGGAATGAAACTGGGGAGCTATTGCCCCGGTAAACGTTCACCGAGTGGTGCCAGCACGGCTGCTGCGGGCAGCCCCGTGGGCTGGGGTACAGGGGTGGCTGGGGCAGGCTCCTGTGGGAGCCCACCCAAGCGATGCCGGGGATAAAACCAAGTGGCCGCCAGCAGAAATGTGGGTTTGTGCTGCTTCTTCTCCTCCCACCTCACACCCCAGCAGCGATTTTGGCACCCGCGGGATGGGACGCCCAGAGCAGCGCCCGCCATAGGAGGGGACGGGCGGTGGGTGCAGGATTGTGCAACGCCGTCCAGACACGCACCGAGAAGGGAAGAGCTGCTTTTAGCTAAAAGAGCAAAGCAGCGGTGCACGGCCATGCTCTGCTCGCTGAGGGCACCGAGAAACCTCTCTTCACTGGCCCAAGAGACTACGGCCGATCACCGCAGCATTGCTTTGGGCATCACTGGAGGAGCTGAGCCACCTCAGAGCCACCACCCTGGGCTCCCCTTAACCCGTGAGGAGGAACTTCAAGCTCCAGGCTGCCTTTCCAAGGCGTGTGTCACTACCCTTCAAAACACTCCCAGAAACCTTCCCCCATCCCCAGGGTCGGGGTTTCTCCTGAGGCCGGACCAGCTCACCAGGTTGGACTTTCCACATCATCCCTCATGGGGGATGCTCCTGCCCAGCCAAACCCTGCACAGAGAATGGGCAAGGGTCCTTACTGTCCCCCCCGGGGCAGCCAGGCTCTGGGGAGGGGGGCAATTCCCTTGCAACTGCCCCACCACAAGCAATTTGGAACAAGGGGCCTTTTTTTTGGTACATCAGTATTTCATGAGCTCTCACCCCCCTGCTCCACCCTGCCGTGAGGCGAGGGTTGAGCCGTGCCACTGCCACATTTTGGGAGGATGGAGGGGTTATCCCCACCCTGGGCAGGGGGGGCAGCTCTGGTGTGGGCAGCCCCGACTCAGCTGTGCCACGGCAATTGCTGGATCAGGCACTGCGGCTCTTCAAAAAGCACAAGTCCCGCAGCTCGAGGGGCCCGACCCAACCGAAATCCCCGACAAAACCCCCATGGGGGGCAAGCAGTGACAGCCAGCAGCACAGCACAGGGGAGAAGCGGGCAAGCGACCGCACCACCAGAGCAAACCGGGCACGGTGACGGTGCTGCCGGCTCCTCGATTGCTTCTTAACCGCCTCCGAACCAAATCGGCAATTAAGGGATCGTCACTTGATGAATTATACGAAAAGATGCGCTTGTGAATCACTGTATCCAGGCTGGGTAAGAACACTGGCGGTGCTGTATTTGGGAGTAATTACTCTCCACGAGCATGTGAATCATTAGGTATAATTGCCCTAATAAATAAAGGGAAGATAACTCCGGTCTCTAGTCTAATCTAGCGCAAGCAATTTTCAGGGTGAGCTGCGCGAAAGAAAACCAGGAGCATGAGGCTGAGGGAAAGCAGGAGGAGGAGAGCTTCAAAACCTGGATGCGCCGTTAATCCCTCCCACAGCACTCAAAGCCCGCTGGCAGCGATGGAGTGTCTCCCACAGGTCTCCTGACAGAGTTTGGTGGCAGTGAATTTGCCGTAGAGGGCTCAGGTTTGGCTGAGACGGGGTTGTCCCTTCCTGGGGCAGCATCCCACAGGAGCACAACTTCTCATGGCTAAAGTTTCCCTGCTGCAAAAACGCAATTGGGTTAAAAAAAGGACTTATTTTGGGGGTGACCGGGTGGCAACGGTTACTTGAGTCTAAACAAAACCATTTCACTTTTCCCCTGGGAAATGCTGGAATTAAAAAAAAAAAAAAAAAAACAAAAACACCAAAAAAAACACCAAACCCACCCCACTTGAAGTTGACATTTTGAAACGAAGCAGCAATTTTATTCTCCACTTAAAATGTCATCACAGACTTTTGCTTAAAAAAAAGCAGCCTTCCCTGAGTGACATTTTAAGGGGAAACGTTGACTTAAAAGCAGAAGGAAACCCCCCAGCCCATGCAATGAAATGTTTCGAGCTGCAATTGAGACTTCTTGCAGGGAAATAGATATTTTTGCAGAAAAAAAAAAAAAAAAAATAAAAATTGCAAGTAGTTACAGATCTTTTGCGGATTGAATTTCCTGCAGGACAAACCCACCCTCAAGGAAGCAAGACTTTGGGCCACTCTTTGCCAGACCTGCACGGAAAAGGATGGAGCAGCATCACTGCCCTGTCCCACAGAAAACAACATCCCCGATTCTGGGAAAAATTTTCTCAAAAGCCCTGCAAAGCAAAGCGAAAAATTGGGAGCGGAGGCTGGTTTTGTCCTAGAGGGGTGGCAGGCGAGCAGTGCTGGCTCCACACTGTCCCCCCGAGACGCCAGCGCAGGAGCTGCCCCAGCCCAGTGCCCGCGGTGGGGAAGGTGCCGAGGCCGGGGGATGCCGGCAGCGGGGTGGGGAGCCGTGGCAAGTGGTAACAGGGTTTATTCCACCTCCTCCAGGGGCTCCCCGCAGCCTCCACGGGGAAAAATAGGATTTAGTCTGCAACCCCTGGGAATCCCCACTCACTCCCCAGGGAGCAAGAGGATTGTGACTCATCCTTTCTCTGCTTGCAAGAGGGGCTGGGCTCTGCCTGGAGATGCTCCACGAGATCCAGGTGTGCCGTGCCGTGTCCCCTCTGCCTGCGGCTCTTCTGCTGGCTGGGGTTTGACCAGGAACAGTCTATGCTTGGTCTCTCCCCAGGCCGCAGTTATTGCTGCCTGGGTTTTGGGTTTTTAATAACTCGTAATATGAGAAGCCTGCCTGGGGGAGCAGAGGGATTATTGGCAAATATCACTTCCCACTTGCCGGACTTCGAGGGGCTTTAGCCATGTGGATTTGCCAGGAACGGAGAGAGAGACACAAACCACCAGGCTGGGAGAGACCAGGGCTGAATCCGTTTAACACAGGGCTGCAGCAAAATCCCACAGACAACAAGTATCCTCCAGCCTCCAAAGGAGAGGGCTAGATGGGAAAGGCTGCAGAATCCTAATTAGCTCTTCGATATTAATGAACCGGCACTGAAGCAAACAAGCCAGCGACAGCAGCTGGCACGGCTCCTGCCACCACCTCCCGGTCCCGGCACTGGGCTGCCCGCACAGGGGCCTTGGTGGCACAGCCCCTGGGATGGGGGACAGCCAGGCACACGGGGACCCACACGCCACTGTGGGAGAGGAGCTGCTTAGGCACGATGGCAGAGGGAGGACGCAAGGGCACACAGTGGGGCATGTTACAGTCCCGGTCCCTGTCTCCACAGCTGACACTGGGAAATGCTACCGCTCGCAGAGGGACACCCACCCACCTTGCCAGGGGCTTTCTGCAAAACTAAGGCTGAGTCACTCTGCCCCTAGATGAAGCCAGCAGCCCAGGGATGGGGCACCCCGTCACAAGCTATGCTGACAGGTGCCTGCTGGCTTGGAAATCTAAAAGCCAGCAGCTGGAGACACAAGGCACGTACATAAATCCTTACGCTGGACATCCGT